CAGGTCCCAAGAAATATTTGATCCCAAGCCAGCCCCAACATTTGAAAGATCATGTTGGGAAACAGCATCACAACCATTTCCTAAGGAAATGCTGACAGATGTAGCCCCTCGCTCCCGGCTGAGCCAAGCGCGGTTCCCAAGCCGTACAGGAGCAACAAGGCTGCAAGGTCTCAGCAACAGCATTTGGTTCTTCTGCACTGCTTTCCACCTCACAAGTCAAAAATTGTTGATGCCCTCCAATGCCAGACTTAGGCAACAAATATTTTGACCCTGAAGGAAGCTGAAGTTAGACAGGAGGTTCAGAAACAAGTCAGGAAAGGCCTGCTTGCACCACGTGTTTTCCTCTGTGAGCTGCTGCACAGGGTAACACTGGGTTTAAGGGGTGTCCAGCGGCTCTTCACACCTCTGCCTCCTTGGGGCTTCATTGGGTTCATGCACCCAGGCACGCAAGGCAAATGCTTACAAAGCCAAGAGACCATGCACTGGGTTGGAACATGGTCTGTGGTATCTGGAGTTTACTATGTACAGTTGTAAATGATGTAGATGGATTATAAATTATTTGTATAGGTGTCAGAGATGATCTGTATCAGAAGGTGCAATGCTTTTAATGCCAATTTAAAAAAAAAAAAGAGAGAGAAAAAAAACAGCAGAAACTGACAGTTTGGTTGGTTTTTTTATGTTTGCATGTGGCTGAGGTGGGTGGGTAGGAATAGAAAGATAACAGTGTCATTTGGCCCTCTATGGCTGATGTCTTCTCCTCCCCATCTGTGTTACACAGAGACTTCATGGCCAAAGAGCTCTTTTGTGAAGGGATGAGAAGAAATGGCTGAATTGCAGAAATGTGGAAGCAGTAGGCTATAACTCCCATGCTGGCTGCCCTTCGATTCCACTCTGTGCTGGTACACTCTGTTCCCACAGCCTGTTCCCCTCAAATTCTGTCACTTCAAAGCACCCCATTCCCTTAGCGGGCCAGTGCCTGGCCCAGCACATGTAGACTTGGGCTGGGAAAGGGGTGAAACACTGACTTTCTCCAAGCATCCTCTAAAGCCTGCTGATCCTGCCAACCCCAGGAGCTGCTCATTGATAGAGCAGAAACAGTTCATAAACTCATGTAATGAATTAGCACAGCTGTGAGAAAAATCATTTCACAAGTTGTTTCATTTACCCCTGGAAATCACGGGCAGCTGATGCAGATCAGAGAACACCCATAGTACAGGGATAGTGTTCAGGCATACCCTGTAACCAGGAACTGCTGTCTTCAGAGCAGCAGCCCTCAGAGCAGAGCATCTTCTGCATAAAGGCTGGGTGAAATGCCTGAAGGAACATGGTAGGTGGCCCTCAAGGGGACAAGGATGGACACAATTGTCTGGAGACTGGGACAGCACAGAAACCTGAGTGCAGGGTGCATTCATAAAGAACAGAGCCTGGAGGTAGGGCTTGCAGGCACAAACCCTCCTGGCACAGTGGATTAGGGTTTTACTAGGCAGGATTCCCCACCTTTCTCCAGCTCATTGGAGAGACTCCCAGCCTTTCAAAGGCTTTCCTGAATACATTTATTTAAGCCATTATATCACACTTGTCTTTGTTACATCGAAATGCCCCCAGGTCTCTCTATGTGCCCAGCTTGATGCCGAGCAGATATGCAAACAGCTCTCCAGCGGACGGTGGCTGATGCCGAGCTGGCTTGGACAGAGTCCATGTGCATCCCTGCGTGGTGGCTTGCTGTGTCACCCACGGTCCTGGCTGCGTCATGCCAGGTCTGGTTCCCAGCATGAGTCACTGCTGCCTCCTCCTCCTCCTGCACAAACCTGGACCAGCCTGGGTGGCAAGCAGCACTTTGGCACTTGCCGGTAGTTAAGGTGATCCCCAGCCAGCTGCCAGTGAGTTCTGCATTCTGAACAGTCTCCTCCCTCCATCACCTCTCCCGAAACACCGCCTAGGACAAGCTGAAAACACCCACTGGTTGTAAATAACTAAACGCTTTGTGAAAAAATAATACAAATCACCTCTTTTTCAGGGAGCATTCTGCACCAGAATTAAAACCTTCAGAGGCAGAACAAACCCAGCAATAAGAAATCCTGGTATAGATCATTTTTACATATGGAAATAAAATTCATCTCCCACCAGCTCCATGTGAAAACCTACAGACTGATTGAGGGGGAGGACAACACTGCTTGGCCACCGTTAATGGTGGATCAGTCTTCGTCATACGACCTCCCCAGCAGCACCACTGCAAGGTGCCAGGAATAATTCAGCTCTAATAGCGTGTTCACAGCCCCATCCATATTTCATATCCCACCAAGCTGGACTCGCTGAGCCTCCATGGGCACCCAGTGTCCAGGCAGTTCTGCCTGTCTTTGTCCTGCAGCACTCAGAGGACAGACCAGAAAGCTGGACTACAGCAGCCGGCAAACACTGCTGGGATAAATGCAGAACAGGGGAAAAAACCCTCTTAAAGGTGTTTCAAAGCAGGGAAAATGCGAACTCCCCATGTCTTGCTTTGGGTTCATTAAAATCAAGGCTCTGCTGGTTTCTGCGCTGTGCTACGCCCTTGGCATGTGTTTTCTGGGTGACCCCAGAAGCTGGGGATATCGGTGTCATGATGGCTTCTGTGAACAGTTTGCATGAACACATGGCACGACACGCAGAACAGCCTGCTAAAAAGCACTGTAGTAAAGTAAGACTATGAACACATCGCTCAAAGCATGGGAAAAAAACCTAAGAGTCTGTGCTGAAAGAAGGGTATTCCCCACCGTGAATGATGATTTAAGAGATCTGACTGCACTGAGCTTCTGAATTCAGTGATTCATGAGCCTATTTTTACACATTTCCTTGCATCTTGCCCACTCTGCTACAGCAGAGGCATCGCCATGTCTGCTGGGATTGCTGGAGACCACCAGCACCTGAATATCTGTTCCCATACGGAGATGCAGAGTATGAGTGCTCAGGGATGGAGGGAGCTCCGGCGCCTGAGCAAAGTGTCTTGAGCAAAGGACGGTGCCAGGCCAGTGCCTTATTCCACCACAGCGACCCGCTTCACTGCCCAGGCCGGGTCAGCGTGTCCCCGCGGCGCGGGGCTGAAGGCAGGAGGGTTATTTTGCAGGGAAGTGGGCTGAGGAGTACCCAATGCCAGGGTGTTGCCTTGCTTGGAAACACCTTGTGTGGAACTGATGAGATTTCCTGTGGAAAAGGATGTTTCCTCTCTGCTTTGTGACCAGCATGGAAGGCTTTTGTTCTCAAAATCCATCCTGATTCTGAATTGAAAACTTTAGCAGTTTTTTTCCATGTATGGGGAAACAATGCAGCAAACAATGTCTACTTTTGCAACCTGAACAAAGTTGGAACACTCCTGCCACCACTTCAGGGAACAAAAAACACCCCTTATGTCCCTTATTTTGTGTGCGAGAGGCAGCAGAGCTGATCAGCTCCTTTTCACAGTGGCTGGGACACTCCTGTACAAACTGCCAGACAGGGGAAGGCATGAGGGGCTGAGGTGACAGGGGCTGAGGTGACAGGGGCTGAGGTGGCCGGGGCTGAGGTGACAGGGGCTGAGGTGACAGGGGCTGAGGTGACCGGGCTGAGGTGACAGGGGCTGAGGTGACAGGGGCTGAGGTGACAGGGGCTGAGGTGACCGGGCTGAGGTGACCGGGGCTGAGGTGACAGGGGCTGAGGTGGCCGGGCTGAGGTGACAGGGGCTGAGGTGACCGGGCTGAGGTGGCCGGGCTGAGGTGGCCGGGGCTGAGGTGACAGGGGCTGAGGTGGCCGGGCTGAGGTGACAGGGGCTGAGGTGACAGGGGCTGAGGTGACAGGGGCTGAGGTGACAGGGGCTGAGGTGACCGGGCTGAGGTGACAGGGGCTGAGGTGACAGGGGCTGAGGTGACCGGGCTGAGGTGGCCGGGCTGAGGTGACAGGGGCTGAGGTGACAGGGGCTGAGGTGACCGGGGCTGAGGTGTCCGGGCTGAGGTGACAGGGGCTGAGGTGACAGGGGCTGAGGTGACCGGGGCTGAGGTGACCGGGCTGAGGTGACAGGGGCTGAGATGGCCGGGCTGAGGTGACAGGGGCTGAGGTGACAGGGGCTGAGGTGACAGGGGCTGAGGTGACCGGGCTGAGGTGACAGGGGCTGAGGTGACAGGGGCTGAGGTGACCGGGGCTGAGGTGACCGGGCTGAGGTGACAGGGGCTGAGGTGACAGGGGCTGAGGTGACCGGGGCTGAGGTGACCGGGCTGAGGTGACAGGGGCTGAGGTGACAGGGGCTGAGGTGACCGGGCTGAGGTGACAGGGGCTGAGGTGACAGGGGCTGAGATGGCCGAGCTGAGGTGACCGGGGCTGAGGTGACAGGGGCTGAGGTGACAGGAGCTGAGGTGACAGGGGCTGAGGTGACAGGGGCTGAGGTGACAGGGGCTGAGGTGACCGGGGCTGAGGTGGCCGGGCTGAGGTGACAGGGGCTGAGGTGACAGGGGCTGAGGTGGCCGGGGCTGAGGTGACAGGGGCTGAGGTGACAGGGGCTGAGGTGACAGGGGCTGGGGTGACCGGGCTGAGGTGACAGGGGCTGAGGTGACAGGGGCTGAGGTGACAGGGGCTGAGGTGGCCGGGCTGAGGTGACAGGGGCTGAGGTGACAGGGGCTGAGGTGACCGGGCTGAGGTGTCCGGGCTGAGGTGACAGGGGCTGAGGTGACAGGGGCTGAGGTGACCGGGCTGAGGTGACAGGGGCTGAGGTGGCCGGGCTGAGGTGACAGGGGCTGAGGTGACAGGGGCTGAGGTGGCCGGGGCTGAGGTGACAGGGGCTGGGGTGACAGGGGCTGAGGTGGCCGGGCTGAGGTGACAGGGGCTGAGGTGACGCGGGTCCGGGCAGGCCGCGGCCGTTCCCCTCCCGGACGATAGGCGGCGCTGTTCTTCCCACCGCCCACCGTCTCCTGGCAACGGGGCGGGCCCGGGGCGCGGCCCCGCGGGCGGCGGCAGGTGCGGGGCGGGCAGGGCCGGGGCGGGGCGGGTGGGTGGAGGCGGCCGCGAAGGTCCCGTCGCCGTTCAGGTACGGTCACCGCGGTCCGGAGGCCTGGGCGGGGGGTTCGGAGGTGCGTGGCCGCCTCGCCGGTGCCCGCGGGAGGAGCATGCGGCGGCGCCATGAGCGAGCAGTGGGACGTCGGCCGGGCCCTGGCCCTCTCCGGCCTCTTCCGTCTCCTGCAGGGCGCGGGCAGGGCCTGCGCGGCCCCGTTCCTCACGCTGTACCTCCGGCACCTGGGGCTGCCGGCCGCGCTGGTGGGCGGCGTGGCCGGAGCCAAGCACCTGGCCGCAGCTCTCTGGGCTCCCTTCTGCTCCCGCTGCCCCAAGGGCCGCAGGAAGCGGCGCCTTCTGATTGCCAGCTCCTTGCTGGGCTCGGCGGGGGCCAGCCTGCTGCTCACCCTCATCCCACCCGCCGACGGGCGTGCGGGGTACAAGTACTGTAACGCCAGCCAGCAGTCGGGGGACCGGGCAGCCACCACCGTGGTGCCCGCTCTGGGCACAAGCAACTACAGTGTTCTAAGCATGAGTGCTATTACAAGCGCAAAAGCTGTGTCAAAAGAAACGATGAAGACAACTGCTGATGTTTTGATAGCGAGCGGAAAGCCAACACTAACCAGTTCAGCCTTCCAGGGATTATTTGGCCTGACAGATACGCTTGAGAAAAAAGGCAGGGGGGTTGGGGAAGCTGATATAAAGACAGATGGCTACTTGGATGGTCCCTCTGGCTGGACAACTTCTGTGAAAGCAGTTAACTGGGAATCAGGAGAACCAGAAATGCTGGCTTCCTACAGACCTCCCTTACATGGACGTGGACTAGAGAAGGAAATGAGCAGTCTGGGTTCCGCTCCAATAGGTCTTGCTGATAATGCTGAAGAAAGCCTTTACGGTACTGAAAGTAACGAGCTCTCTTTGTCTAAAACAACTCTTCCTACTGTTGGAGGTGCTTACGTGTCTGGAAGCCTTTCAGACCACCAGAAGGATGCTCAAGATGATGGCCTTGAGGCAGTGCAAAACATCTTTCAGGACAGAGAGCTTCAGATTTTTCTTATGGTACTGGGTGCTGTCGTGCTTTGGGAGCTGTTGGCTACTTCTCTCGAATGGACAGTGGATGAGAGTCTCTATGAATATCTTGACTTCATTGACGCGACTGATAGGTATGGCAAGCTGTGGATTTGGAGTTACCTGGGTGCATCTGCAGGCGCCTGCAGCATTGCCATATTCGTGGATCAACTGAATTGCTTCCTCAGCAGTACAATCACCCGCCTCGCTGTCCATTTCTATGGTTATGCTCTCCTGATAATGCTCTCGTTGCTTGTCAGTGTCTTTTTTCCCATCCACGTTCCCAAGAAAACTGACCGTGTTAACAAAACCGCCAAAGCCCTGGCCCTGCTGTGGAGCGACGGCCGAGCGATCCTGTACGCCTTCACCGTGTTCCTCACCGGCGTGGCTGGGTCTGCGGTGCACAACTTTCTCTTCTGGCAGATGCAGGACCGAGGCAGCAGTGAGCTGTACATGGGGCTCTCTGTGGCTGTTGGGCTACTTGCTGAAATTTTGCTTTATTTCTTCAAAGGGAAGTTGCTGCGGACTTTCTCAAGCGGCACAATCGTTGCAGTTAGCCTGAGCCTCCTGGCAGTGCAGCTTCTGTGCTACTCCTTCTTGTGGACTGTGTGGTCAGTTCTCCTTATCCAGATTTTATCTGCCTTCAGTAGCGGTGCTTTGTGGTGGGTGGTTAACATGATGGTGGATGACATAGCCACGCCAGGCACGGAGAGGTCCCTGCATGCTCTTCTCCAGGGCCTCTGCTATGGTGGAGGGGCAAGCTTGGGCAGTTTTGCAGGAGGATTTGTTGTGAAGCACTTTGGCCTGGCAGTTCTTTACAGGGCATGCTGCGTGTGCCTAGTGCTGTGGCTCTTCTTGTTCTTAATTGTCCAATCTAAATTGCCACGACAGAAAAAAATTAATTATTCTCGTCTCCTGGCTGCTGATTCCAGTGATATGAGTGACTCTGATGAGGAGAATGAGAGGGACTGGCTGGTAAAAGCTATGAAGGATGAAAGCTTTAATAGGAGTTGGTCACAACAGCATGGGATCAGCTAAGCTGTACTTGAATGTAGGGAGTGGAGTGGTAATGTGGTATGATGATGATGCCAAGAAATGACCATTAATTCCTAAAGTGCTAAATCTATACAGTATATATCTGACAGGACAGATTTTTATTTAAAAAAAAAATAAATTCTTTTATTTTCTTAATTTATAGCATTCTTGTAGTAATTTTTCCTTTTTAACTTGATGATTTTGCTTCCAAAATCATAACAAGGTATTTCAAGTATACCTTTGCTGAAATGAATGTAACTAAGTTTTCAGTTAAAAAGCAAACTTGAATTCTTGCTCCACAGAGATGATGCTGTGGAAAGTGTGAGCAAAGCAGTGACCTGTACGTTGACGCAATTGAATGAAAAATACTGTAATGCTAACAGCACACTGAACTTTTTAAAGGTGCTATGTATGCGAACTCCTTTTACTGAATAAGGGCTGTGAATAAAATGGTTCATTTGCTTTGATTTGTGAAATCCAGTTTTGCTACAGACTGTCTGTTTTCTCATGTTTTGGGATTTAATATGCTCTGGCATCAGCATCTGTTGGAAAAAACCTGCCATGGCTGCTCCCAGTCAGCGCCTGCTGGCTGTTCAAATGGAGCAGAGCAGCCCGTGGACTTCCTTGTGTTTATTTACTGAAGGTGGCACCCAGCATTCAGAGTGACCAGGAAGCAGTCAACCCTCCTAATCTGAGTAATTTCTGTGGGCTGGGAATTAAGGTAGGGCAGAATTCATTCAGAAGGAATTTGGCACTGGCTGAATGGATCTGGCGGAAACTGGTGATCCCCCCCTGGCTCAGACTGGCCTGAGGGCAGCCTCCTCTCATGTTTCCTATTTCGAACTAAATCTGTGTCTTGAACAGGGCCTGCTAAATCCAGAAGGATCCTCAGACTGTTTTATCTGCCTTGGCTTAACCTCAAAACCACAGATTTCAACACCTCTTCGATAGGTAAGATTTGCTTACAGATGAAAACCCGGTGGTCTGATCTCATTAAAAGATCTGAGTCAGACCTTAAATGGGGCTGGCAGAGATGCTTTCAACCTTACAGTCCTTTCAGCTACCATCAAAAGCTGTTGTCAGTTTATTAGATACTTCCTTGGCCAAGTGACTACATCATTCTTTTTCAGAGGGATAGATTTTAATAACAGCTTCCTAATGTTTTACAAGCCATGAGACAGGCAGCTGCAAAAGGCAGAATATTTATTTAAATGCATATTTAATATGTAATATATAATCTCTAAGTGGCATTGCAGTCTGTCACCCTGCTGCGTTCTGAACTTGTTAGAAAGTGTCTGGAGACAAGGAAAAGCAATGCCATTGAAGATAATCTCTGTCTCTGTATGCATCGATTCCAGATTATCTGTACATCAAATGCTTTCAGAGTAATTAGCTCTCTGTTTTTCTGGCACAAATCACTATTAGAATGACTCTATAGATAGAATTGTCCGCGTGCCAAGAATAGCTGGAACATTTTATTAAGATGTTACCTTCTTCCAGGAATTCAGACTCCAGTTGAGAACAATTTTAGTATGAAGAATTTATCCCAGCCTTATTATCATAAAATACCTCAGCTCTAATGACTTGTTAATACAGTATCTGACTTCAGGCTTGAGTAATGTACCTGCAAGCAGCGCATCACAGAGCCACGTGTGCTTTTGTGAGATAAGCGCTGCAGAAAGAGCTGGAATGGTTCAAAATGCGGTTCCTTCTTTAGCTGGAAGTGACTGCCTTCATTTGAAGCCAGTTAAATGGGTTATATGTGCTCTTTTTATCTGCTTCGGCACAAAATCAGCTGCTGTAACTCCAGTTTTGCAAAGAGAAACCTTGAAATGAGAAGTGTTTGTGCAATCCATCCTGTGACGGTGGCGGAGGGGCGGTGTGACTCTCCCCGGGCTCTTACCCGCCCGGTCGCTTTGGCCGTGGATGTTTAGGTGTGTTCAGCCACTGCTGCTGTGAACAGGGAGGATTTAAGGTATGGCCCAAAGCTTAACTCCAGTGTAAAAATCTTGCATTGTAAGATTTTATTTTTTAGAGGTTATTTAACAATAAACACATTTGGTGCTGATTCAGTGGAGAATCATATTTATACAGTTTGAAATATGTTCTGAATTACAAACTGCTATGAAAGGGGACGTGGCAGAGGGCTTATTGGCTGAAGAAATCACCAATTTGGTTAAATCATTTTCCACTGGGGTTTAAACAGTTTCTGTGTGTGAGCTCTTCGACACTGGTGACAATTTCTTCCTCTCTGATGGTCACAGACCCTGCAAGCCAAAAGGGTAAGGAAGGAGGTGGACTTAAATTGTTCTTTGTGAGACTTCTTCACTCTGAGCATGGCTTTATTGTTCTTGCAGAAGAACATGCCAAGGCATTTAATGCTGGTGGAAATATGATGTAACTGAGAAGAACCAAACTGCCTTTGGGGAAAATAGATTCTCATGATGTATTTCCAACCACATAGCCGTTATTTTTGCATTACTTTGTAACTATTTGCCAAAAAATTGATGTTGAAACTTATGTTTCTTTTAGTTTTTATTCTTAAATAGCAATTGTAAGTTTAAAAGTGATTATAAAATCATGTAAGATTTTACTGTTTGCCTGCTTCATGGTGAACTTTAAGCAAATTTCAGAGGCTTATATGTAGAAATAATTTTTTTTTTGCCCCTTGGTGTCAGTCCAGGGTCTAAGTTGAGCTGTGTCCTCCTTCTCTGAATACATTTCGATTTAATTGAGCTCTGGAGGCAAACCATAGTTAGTGTTGAGGAACAAGTTCCGCACAATGACGGTCTTTGTAGCTCTTTGATTTTGAATTTCACATAGCTCAATATATGTGTACTTTGTGAGAGGTTTCAAAGGATCTAAGTAAATCACTTATATTGGATGAGACATCATTTGCCAAAAAATGACAAAGGCCTCTTTGCTTATTGTGAAACAACTTACAGGCCTTGCAGGTAGTTTCAGTATACAGCTAATGCAGCCGAACTGGAATCTGAGTAACTCATTGCATCAGACACTTTATCTTGCTTTTTAAAAATTTGTTCCCAAGTTTTAAGGAAACTAGTGTATTTTATCTTTCTGGCAGTTATTTTTTGATGGGATATTGCAAATGTTTCCTTCAGCTCCTCTCTGTGCATCTCACATCTGCGATTGACTATTTAAGTGGGGCACTTTCAGAATATGAAATGAGGTAAAACTCAGGGGCACTGATCTCTAAAAGTTCATTTTTCTTGTCAATCTGATCAGCATAGTAAGTTCCTTTGCAGTGTTCTCCAAGGGTTTCTATAACTCAGCAAACCACCACAGCATGTTTCTTTGTGGCCTGTAGTGGAATCTGCCCAGATGAACTCACAGGGAGGTTTTTGTATTTTTGTAAGGAGTAGTTTCCCAAAATCATAGATATGGGCCATTTAGGGTAAGTCCATTTAGCTGTAGTTTCACAAGAATGGGAGGGTGATATTTTTGAGAGCCGTGGAGTGTTTCTGCATGTTCTGGAGAGCTCTTGATGGGTTATAATGCCTCTAAGACATGATCCGTGCTGTCTTCAGTGCTGCTAGTAAAAGTGTTTCTCATCTTGTTCATTTTTAAAGTACAGACAAGACAATCCCACTCGGATTTGAACTCCTAGGTGAATTTTGATTACAGCATGATACCAAAATTCTGTGCCTTTTTAATATGGGTCGCATATAGACTTCTTAAAAGTGTTCAGCAGCTCCTGACCATTACTGGCATGAGCGCTGAGTAGTATTAGTGCAGGGAAAGACAAAGAGTCTACCTTGAAATATCTTGATGCTCTCAGCTTGGCATCTGTATTGCTGTATTTATCAAGAGGGAGCCAATGTGAAGGAATCTCTGCTAATTTAAACTGTACATTTCTCAGGGGACAGATACATCTTTTTCTGCATGGTTTCTCTCTGGGGCCTGGTTTTGCAGTAATATAAATTACTTTTCTGGCCAAGGGCAATTTTTAAACTTTAAATTGGATATGTGGAGACCATAAAACTGTGAACCCAAATGTAGAGGTGAGTATGAGGCAAACTTTGCTTCACCTTTAATATTTAGAAATCTTGCCTGAAGAAGTCAAGGAACAAAAAACATAATTATCACAACCTCACCAGTACAGCAGACAGGGAAGTTGTTGGTAACCTGGGTTCATTTTTGAAACTTTGAGAACATTTCTACTTTTAATCAGGTTGAAAGGTCAGAATTATGAAAGTAGTCACAACACTGAAAATAGTAGTCTTGTGTTAACACAGTTTTTGTTGTTAGCAAAAGGAATTTTTTACAAAAATGCTGAAATAACTTTAATATTCAAAGCATGAATTGAGAAACATGAAGCTGATTTTTTGACAAATCATAGGGAAAATACACTCACTCAATAACTCCAAACCAGTTATTCTGACATGTGCATCCCTCCACAGGAACAGGCTCTGAGGTCCTCGGGACCACACTCCTTTCTCAACAAGTGGCAAATTAAAATACTCAGCTTCCTTCTGTCATCAAGATGCGCTTAAGTGAGTTGGCAGCAAAGGGCCCTGTGAGCATCACCTTGGGAGCGTTTTTGAAGACTCAGGATTTGTTGAATGTGCCTCAGCGGTGTCTGTTTGCTGTTGCCTGCTCAGGTTGTTTCTTTGAAGAGCTTCAAATGATCATGTCCTTCCTAATGTTCTCCAAGCTGCATTTTAATTCTTATTGTATTTGTCAGCAACTTTCAAGTACCTGGGAGATTGTGTTACTGTTGCTTGGTATTAGATAATGTTCTGGTTATAAGCTATAATGTATGTGTATTTTCTATTGTGTAGGCGCTTGATTCCTACAGAAGTGACTGTATACAGGGAAATAGGAGCGATTTTAAGAAATATTCTGCTAGTGCCCTGAAAGTGTTGCTGCTAGTGACTCTCCTCTCAGGCAGACCAATGTGCAAGTCACCTCAAGACCCACTGAAACTTCTCAGCCCTGGATTCGAGGACACAGAGCGTGCCTGGGTGAAGGAGGAACCACAGGGTTTGCCTGTCAGGCAGTTTGCGTGGGGCACACCAACTGTTTCTGTACCCTGGGGTGCACTTGATTTGCATTTATCTCTGCAACATGGATTTGAACATAATGATTATGTTCAATACGGCAGACCAAACAGCGTGCGTTAATTGGATCATAACTCAGTGACTGGACTGCTTGATTTAATCTCATGTTTTTATAAAGTCTAAAGCGGGCATATAGAATGTGTTGAATTCAAGTTGCAGCCCGCAGCAGATCTGGATACTCATGGTGAGAGTAATCCTGTAGGGTATTCGACTGAAGAACTGATTAAAATATTTACATGTTGATTTTCTCTGCATTGTGGAGCAATAAAAACAAGGTGAGTCACTTCAGACCTGGGTTCATAATTATAGCGCCGGCAGATGCTCATCATTTAATGAGCTGATGAACAGTCTGCTGGCGGCCGTTCTTACCTTTCACATTAAAACAACCAAACCACAAAATCCTGAAGTGGCTGTTGTCCCTCAGCTGGGCTTTGCCTAACCGGGAGCCTGGCAGTTCAAATTACAGTGCAGCTGCCTTAATAAAGCTCAGGGCATCCCTGAACGATTCATTCAAATAGCAAATCTTTATACAAGAAACACCGTTTCAGCTCTGGGGTGAGTTACACACACTTTGGCCTTGCCGCTTTGTGTTGCTCCTGTCAGAGGAGCTGCTGCTTTTCCAGAGGATTGCCGGAGCGAGGAGCTGCTGCGGCTGCTCACGGTTCACCGGCGCTCAGGCGCTGCTGCTGCATTTCCAACCCAGAGCACCAGCTCCCATGCTTGTTCTTTTTTATTCCACACACCCCCCCCCCCCTCTTTTTTTATCCATAGACTCCTAATTTGTATCTCCTGTGTTTATATGCCACTGTTATCCTCGGTGAATGAAGCACTGTCTCCTTTGCACATGTTCTGGTTTAAAATACTGGGATGGATCAAAAGTCAGCAGCTTCCCTCTGGTTTTTGGAGATGGAAATTTCAAGATTTTGCTCAGATTGATGTCGGTTCCAGCAGGGACGTTTCACAGGGATTAGCTCAGCAGGCTGTTTCACTGGGGAGGGGAGCAGCTAGAGACGAGGATGCCGCAAGGTACTGCCAGCAGATACCAGAGTGTGGTGTTTCTCTGCAGGGGTGATCCTCCAGAGCGTGCCGTGCCTCTCTGCTCACCGATAGCTTATTTTATTGCCAGGACTCTCGACTTAGGGCAGTGTCACGGCCGGCTGGGGGGCAGCCCAGCTGGGTGGCAGGGTGAGCCTGGCCCTCCCCGCTCCGCTGCCCTCACCCCTGCTGCTCTCCGGCCCAGTGACTGCTTGGAGCTTCCCAAAAGGGTGTCCCCGAGCCCCCTCGCGAAGGTGGGGTGTCCCCGAGCCCAGCCTCGCCCTCGCCTTGGACCTGTGCTCTTGCACAAAGCCGGCATGGGGGGACATCGGTGCCGCTCACAGGCATGTCCCAGCAGAGAACTGTGTCCCCTCCGTGCGTTCTGGGGAGGGTGGTGCTGAGGCGCGTGCCTCCACGGGGGACAGCAGGTCACGAATCCTCAGTGGACCGAGTGCTTCCAAGATCGGCGAGTGAGACGTGTAAACCCCTGCGAGCGGGAGGATTTACAGTCCCCAGCCCACCCTCGCATTCCCCCTACCAGTTTGCTGGGACAAAGCTTTCAGGACGGTGGGACTGGTGGTTGCGGTGTCCCCCAGGAGAGGGGCAGCGCTCAGCAGCAGGATCCCCGTTGCTGTGGGTGCTGCCAAGGTGCTACCCACCAACGTTTGAATTTCAGACCCGCACAGCCCTTTGAACAGTTTTGAAACCCTTGCTGTTGCGTTTTCCCATGGGGAAAAGTTCCTGCTACCGGCAAGTGCAGCTGCCCCTCGCTTACCTCCTCGCAGCATCTTGGGGGGGGCTGTTTAAGGCCGTGCCCCATGTCCCACACGGGCTCTGCAAAGCCTGGCCTCGGGTTTAGTGACAGAGCAACGCGTGTCCCCTCCCGGGCACCCCCCGCGCAGCGCTTTCTGCCCCTCACCTGCTCTGCCGGGGCGGGGCGGGGGGGGGGGGGGGGCTCCTCTTATTTTTTTATTGCTTTTCTGGCTGCGGTTTTTGAGAGACTTGTTGGGGCGTGGGGTGTGGAGTGTGGGTGTGTGGATTCGAAGCAGCCGGTGCCCGAGCCCCGGGGAAATAACCCGGGGGGGAGTGGGGGTGGGGGGCCGCGGGGGTCCGGGGGCGGCGGCCGGCAGAGGGCGCGGAGCGGCGCGGAGCGAGCCCCCCCCTCCCGCCCCCCCCCCCCCCCCCCCCCCCCCCCGGGCCGGCGGAACGGCGCTGGAAGGACCGGAGCGGGCAGGGCTGCGGCATGGAGGGCAGCCGGCCCCCCTCCCGGTACGGATCGCTGGAGCCCACCCGGTGGCCGCCCGCCGGCGCGGGGGCAGGTGAGCACGGCGGGGCCGGGACGCGCAGGGGCGCGGGCGGGTCCAAACTTTCCCCCCCCCCACACACACACACCTCCTCCACACCCCCCGACCCCGGGGGCTCCCGGATTCCCCGGTTATCCGAGCCCCGGGAGCTGGCGGGGAACCGGTGCCTTCATCCACCAAACGGAACCCCGCGGGTGCTCCCGGTACCGGCACCGCCGGAGCCTCCGGGCAGCGGGAGTGGGGCGGGAGGGATGGGGGGTAGCGGGGAGTAGAAGGACGGAGGGAAGGGGTGGATGGAGGGGAGGGATGGGCGGAAGGCGGGATGGAGGGAGGGAAAGGCTGGATAGGGGAGAGGGGTGAATGGAAGGAGGGGAAGGGTGGCTGGAGGACAGAAAGGACGGAGAGAAGGGACTGGATGGGAAGAGGGATGGCTGGAGGGATGGAGGGATGGCTGGAGAGAGGCTGGAGGGAAGGAGGGATGGCTGGAGGGAAGGAGGGGTGGCTGGAGGGATGGCTGGAGGGAAGGAGGGGTGGCTGGAGAGAGGCTGGAGGGAAGGAGGGGTGGCTGGAGGGAAGGAGGGGTGGCTGGAGGGAACGAACCGCTGGACGGAGGGACCCAGCCCGCCGCTCTGCCGATGCTGCCCGGGGGGACACGGAGCCGCTGTGCTGTCGTGCCCGGCTGTGGGCACGGCTGTGACCGGCACACCGGGGTGCCCAACCTGCCCGTCGCTGCCTTTTCCCCTCTCTGTCCATTCCTCCAGTATGAAACGGGGTGGGCAGAGGGGGGAACACCGACCTGGGGGCTTGTCCTGGGCAGAGTCCCCGACCTTGGGGTGGGAGGAAGGGGCTCAATGCTGGGCTGTGGGCAACATCCCTGGGAGGGGAGGCTGCTGCAGTCCCTCTGCCATGACATCCCTCCGACCACCCCCCTTCCCCATCCCTTTCTGTTCCTCCTTAGCCCCTTGCACCCAGCCAGTTAGGGACAGGCAGCTGGAAAGGCAAGGAAAGAGGGATGGAACAAACTCCTGCTGGGTACTGTTGTGTGGGGGTGCTGCCCATGAAGCTGCTCAGCTCCTTGGTGAGCTGCCTGAAGTTTTAGTTCTTCTCCTTTGTGCCTTTCATCATGGCAATGTGTATCCTCGCCCCCACACCTCCCCTGCCTGGGAAGTGTCTATGTGGAAACCCTGCCCTCGCAGGGTCTGAGAACTTCCATCACCTGGATCCTGTGCTCCCAGCAGCCGGGTGACATCAGGGTGGGCCAGGGAAGGGTCAAACACTTGCTGGGCTCAGGGTGCTGGGCATGGCCTGGGCATCCCCCCTTGGGGGCCTGCAGGCAGGCTGTGGGGGCTGTGATGTTTGCTGGTTCAGTGCAGGTCCGTAAACTCCCAGCTCCCGGGTGATCCTTGTGATGGGCAACGTTGGTGTCTTTTTTGAATGCTGCTCTGCTGTTTGCTACCATCCCAGGAAATCTGAGGCCAACCCCGCGCAGCACTGAGCACACACAGCCTCTTGCCCTGCTTGTGCTCAGGAGGTGACCCAGGGGAGCCTGCACACAGCAGCAGGGTCGCGGAGGGGCTGGGGGGGGTCAGTGATACCACATGGGCAGACAACACCCACCCACGAGTCATCCAGGGCTACCTCACCTCTGAACTCTAGTCTTTTTTTATGACTGTTTAACATAGTCCCAGTGGTGCTGGCTGTGCCAGGGGCTGCACAAGCACAGCCAGAGAAATCCCCACCCCCCCGGCTGCAATGGGCCAAGGCTTCACGTTTCTCCCTTGGTTTAATACAGGGGGCACTGGCAGGGGAACAGTGCCGTGGTTCGCAGGCTGCCAGTAGCTGTGACCTCTCCCATCTGAGCATGATCCTGTGCTCTGTGACCATGCGTTGGCAGTCCTGGAGGCTCATGTCCCTCCTGCCAGGCAGTGTGGGTGGTGGGGATAGCACCCCGTCCACCAAGGCTGCCCAGAGCCGGGCAGCGCGTTACCATCGCACTAAAGCACACGGCAGAGTTAAAGGGATCTTGGGATGGAGCCCAAGTGAAGAGCTCTGACCCCCTCCGCAGAGGACTGTCAATCAATCACCCAACTTTAATCACAAAGTAAATTGCTTGAAACTCAACCCAGCACTGGTTTCTGCTGTGACTCAGCTCAGGCTTGCTGCTGGCTGTCTAAATGTTTTCACCAAAGCCATCTGGAGTGGAAGTCTCTGGCTATTATACTCCTCATTAACAATACTTGCTTCCCCTGGGCCATGTGTGATGATTAGAGCACCTCTAAATTTAAATAGAAGCTTTCTCCCCTTCCTTGGTTTGCCAGGTTGACATGGTGCCAGATGGGGGGTCCTTTGGCCCGGGCAGCGTGGGGCTAATCTCTGTGTCTGGCCGTGCTGTTATGTGTGCAGCTGTGGGAGCAAAGGGACCCCCTGGACAGCATGCCTTCACATGGGTGTCATCCCTCTCCATCCCCAAAGGGAGACTCAGGACTCTGAGCTTGATCACAGCTTTAATAAACATCCCTGCCTTAGGCCCTCGCCCATGCCAGGCACTTAGGGAGGGTGTAAGAAACCTATTCTCAGCTTTGGCAAAACCATCTCCAGGGAAATCTTTTGCCCAGCTGTCCGCTTGCAGGTCGTGCCGGATTTTAATCCCTTGTGAGCTCCGAGTCTCTTCACTTGCCATTTGCGACTGCTGTATGGTGTTGCTGCCATCGCACAGGTTCCGGGGTGCACAGTGCCCTCTGATTTCACCACCATCTCAGGAAAGCTGTGATCTGGCCCATGCCTCTAGCTGCTGGGGTTTGGGAACTCGGCATCCCCCCGTGTCTGCCTGGAGAACGCAGCTCCTGAGCTAGCAGGGAAGGTCCATGCACATCCAAATTGGTTGTCACAGACTGATCTCATTGCATGGAATTGTAGAGGAATTTGGATCAGGAGGGACCTCTGAAGTTATCAAGTCCAACCCCCAACTCAAAGCAGGCTTAGTAGTTAAATCAGGTCTCTCATAGCCTTGTCCAGGAGGTATCTTGGACCAAAGATGAAGATCCCCCAACCTCTCTGATCCCTGTTCCAGTGTCTGAACAACCCTTTGATCTGCTTCTCTCTGCCCCTCCTTGTCCATCCCGTGCTCCAGCCCCTGCCCACACTCAGACGTTCCGGTCTTGGTGGCATAAGGACCTGTGGTCCTGGGCAGATGCTGGCAGATGGAAGGAGTCTCCATCAGTAAGTTCATCTTGCTGTCCTGTCATCACCTGCATATTAATCACCTTTATGGATTCACTGGTTTCTTATGAGGCTTAGTGGGTGGTTTTTGCGCAGAGGTATAGCTCTGTGTTCCCTTGTCCAAGTGCTCCCTCCCAGGGTTCATGGGCTTCATTGTGCAGAAGCACTCACCTGGGATTGCCCTTCCACTGCTTCTGCCCTGAATTAAGCAGCTCCAAGCACAACTGCCCTCTTACAGCTTCTTGTCCAGGACTTACTGCTTTGGTGAGCAGTTCCCTGACATACCTGAGGTCGCATCTTCCCTAAGGGACACAGAGTGCCATGGCCCTGACCACAACACCTGAAGGCACAGCCAAGGGCTGAGGACCTTCCAGCTTGAGTCCTTCAACCATGGCTCTGCTGCATGGGGTAGACCTGTCTGCTCTCCCCATTTCACAGGATGCTCCTGGAAAATTTCCTACAGAAGGGTGAGCAGGGAGGAGGTGGGTGTGAGAGCAGCTCCTTCTGAGCAGGGTGGTCCCAGCCATGTTGTATTCCCCATCTCTGATGGGAACCCACCAGAGCTGAGCCAGGAGCTTTCTCACTCTTGTGGGCAGCTGCCTAAGGGCTGAAATTACCTCCCAGCCTCCTGATGCAGAGGAGAGCAACCAGAATTGCCACCTCCTCCCTTCGTGTACGCAGGCGAGGACTCACCTCTCCCATCTGGGATTGCTTCTGTTAATGAAAAGGGAGAAGAAGCGATGCTGACACCTGTTTCAAACCCTTCCACTCACCCACTGGGAAACAGCTGGCTGATAATCTCAGCCAAATACTTCTGCCACCAATGATCAAAGACATTCTGGGTTATTCACCCACCCACCCCAGCCAGGAGTGACAGCCCCCCTCCCCCAGACTCACCCCTGTTCTCCTAGGAGTGATTAGATTTGTCCTTGGCTAACGAAGGCTGCAGTAACCTCGTATCTTTGTTTACCGGAGCATCTGTAAAATAAGCACCGTTGTCATTTTAACCTGGTCACAGAAGCCACACTTAGAGCAATGCAGCTTTTTCCTGACAGGTCTAGAGCTGCACAGAAGCACAGCCCAACCCCAGGGAGCGGCTGCCTACAAGCACACACCGGCTGTACCTCCACGTGTGGTGTTACCTGCTGTCATCTGCGGGGAGATCCTGCCTGTCCCCGGCGCGCGGCCCCCGCTGCTCAGCAGCTCTGGGTGCTGGTGCAGCAAAATACCCCGGGCAAGGGGAGCTCTGGGGTGGCAGAGCAGCAGGATGCTTGGGACAGGGACCTCAGCATGCTGGTCCCCTAGCAACCACACTCTGGTCCCCTAGCAACCACATCCTGGTCCTGTAGCAACCATAGTCCGGTCCCCTAGCAACGCCCTTCAGGCCCATAGAAACAAGGCTAAAGGGGGGGTTCTGTGCAAATTTGTAGTAGAGCCACTGAGCAAGAGCTGCTGGAGGGCAGCGCATCCAACCCTGCGCTTTGTCCAACCCATGTATTCATCAGTCTGTCCTGAGCAAGTGCTGGCTCCTGAGAGCATCCTGATGACAGAATGGGGAGTGAGCGAGGATTCAGCACACTGGCACCAGCTGACCGTGGCCTTTGTGCCTGGGGGAAGAGGGGGGATAATCTCCAAGTAGTCCTCATGAGTTTCTAAGCCAGAAACAGCAGAAAACCATTCTCCAAACCAGTCACACTAACCCAAACTACTTGTATTTCCACTAATAAAGCTGCTTTGCCATCAACCTTGGAAACATGCCTCACTCTGGGAATGATTTCTCAAGCAGTTTTAGATGATGGGTAGAGGACCAGTGAGTACAGAGTGTTTTGCCTTGTGCCTTAATCCTGGTTTCTTCCTGCCCTGTAATCCTCAGCACTGGCCTGGGTCCTGTTTGGGATCCCCAAGCCACACACTCCAGCTCTGACATCTCCAGTTCCCAGACCTTGGCTGCCCAGAAAATCCTGTTCCTGGAGTTGTTGCTCTCTGGCTCTGCTTTCCCTTCTGTCTGCATGGGGAAAATCCCAGGGCTACAGGAAGGCAAAGTCTCAGAGGGGAGACGTGCCCTGTGAAGATTCAAAGGAAGCAGAATTTGCCCCCCGATGTTTGTGATTTCTAATGTTTTCTCACAGCCTGGCTTTGCTGTAGCTGTTGAGCCCCCTCTCCCCAGCCTGTGCTGTGCGTACATCATAGGAGAGCCAGAGTAGCCCGTGTGTGATAAATGTGCTGCTGCATGTCACTGATAACAAGCTCAGTGATGTGTCTCTGAGAGCCGGTTCAGGCTGGGAGGTGGGAGCTGGCCTGTGAGCAAAACCTCAGCTATCCTCATCAAATGGGCTGGGCGCTGCTGTGGGACGCGCAAGCTCACAGGCACTGTGTGAATCAGCACGGCATCCTCGTGTAAATCAGTGTGACAGTCTTGTGCAAACCAGTGGCACATCAGAGGGACATCTGCGTGTAAATCAGTGGAGGGTGCAGAAGCACAACTGGGATCTCATCCTGTCGGTCCCTGGGCTTGCCACTGTGCTCTTCTAAAATATAAATTACCAGCCTGTCTTCCTTCATTTTGCTGTGAACCCCTTTCCTCTTGCCCTGAGTAGGTGAGATCCCTTTTCCCTGCCTCAGTATCGCCAAATGGTTTATAGAGGTGATGCTCAGTACTCTAGAGGATGAGGAAGCCAAACTGACCTGCTGGGTACCATGGGTTTTTTTCCCCGTGAGTTGGGAAGGATGAGGGGGTCTTCACCCAGCCTGTGATGGAAGGGGAGCAGCTGTAGGAACTTCACCTTCATGACTCCTTAGCCCTGTGCTATACGGGTCCAGCATTTGTTCCTGGTGTGTCCTGGAGGAGGGTGAACAAACAGTCTCTGTGCTGGAGATGCCTGAGGCTTACATGGTTCTGGAAAAAGAAAGAGGTGTTCCTGTCCTTCCCTCCAGCAGTTTTTATGTCCCTTGGCTTTCTGCTTTTCATCAGAGGGGGAAACCCCTGGAAACGTGGGGCTTTCTCAGCAGCACAGAGCCTGGCCCAGCATTGGTGTGAGCAGGGTGTGCTGCAAATCCAGCACAAGCAGGTGAAATGGTGCTTGTTTCTAAGGCTCAGAGAGCTGCAAGCTCAGGCGAGGTGGCCCGCTGGCCTCCGTGGTCCTCCTTCATCCAAACACTTCATGCATATTGCATGCGTGTTTGGAGCTGCGCTCAGCAAGCTGAGCCAGCTTTGATGCTAACGCAGCAATGAGCAGACCTGTTCCAGTGCCCAGCCTCACATAAAGCATAAATAAAGACAAAAAACCACAATTGCTGGCAGCTCGATGCCCTTCCATACGTTGGTGACTTCCCATGGGTTCTCTGGGCTGTCTCCTCTTGCAGCACCCAGCAGAGTAGCAAGAAGTCTGGAAACAAGTTTAAAACTGTGCATGTGCCTCGTGGTTATGCTGGTCCCGTGTTTGCAGGGAGGGGGGTCCCTGTGACAGCCCCGTGGTCCCTGTTGTCCTCAGCACCCATTTGACATCTGCTGGCTAACGTGGTTCCCATTTCATTTGCAGAGGATGAGATTGTTTCCATGGCTGACTCGACCACCACCATCGATGACATTGAAGGGGAGCTCTTCAAAATCGAGAGGATCAGGGAGATCCTGGTGAGGAGGGAGTCAGAGCTGCGGTACATGTGAGTACCTGCCCTCCTCCTGCCCTGTCCCCGCTTCCCAGAGTCACCCCGGCATTTTCTGACTGCCGGATCAAACACGGATCATCCCCAGGGATGGGCAGAGCTGAGGCTGCTTTCCACCTCGTTTTCCACCTGGAAGCGCAGCCTCTCCCGCTGCTCTGGCCTTGCTCTCGGAAGGGGCTTGAACAGGTCCCTGTTTCAGAGCTGCCACTGATGCTGTGATGATTTGAGCCAGCCTATTTCTATGCAAACAGAGTTTATGACACAGGTTTATCTACACTAAATGTTTCCATACCCAACCACAAGCACCCCACCTCCCCCGCGGGTCCATACTCTTCCTCAGTGCGTGGCTCTTGGGCTGGGCTTGGGAAGGGACCTGAGGTGCGGTGGCTCACTGCTGCTCTCTGGAGATATCGCTCTGCCCCAGCACACAGATCTGCCGCTGTTGAACAGCCACATCACCACAGTTTACTCTCCCCATACCGAAATATTACACATCCTCCCAGCTCCTCCTTTCCTCCTCCATCCCCTGGCTGCTGGGAACATCAGGACACATCGGTGCCCCATGCCTGTCTCCACACCGCATCCTGACCTCCCTCCTGGCCCAGCCTCTGCAGACAGATGAGGAGGGAAGTTTTTTTTCTCCACGTCAATCACCAAAGCAGTTTTTGAGTCAAAATCTGTAGGCCTTTCACATTTAAGGCAATCAAATAGCTGCTGTGTTGCAGTGGTACTAACCAGCAGTTAGTACCAGGGTGATAAAGAACATTTTCCCTGGGTATATCGGGAAGTTTTATGGTTTGGGAGGAAAAGGACCGACCAGCATTCATCATCTGGGTTGATTAAGATTTTAATACCACTGAATTGCTATAGTCAGGCCAGTCCTGAGATCCCATGCTGTCAAGTCAACCCAAAGCCTGGGATTTTTACTGGTAATGGAAAAGATTGTATTTACTGGGCTACAGGACTTGATATGCTGATCTTTTAATGTGTCTGGGTCCCCTTTTTACCTGTGCTACAGGGATCAGCAAAGCCTGGAAATGCCTGTGTAAATCTGCTCTCTGGGGAAGCTGTGAGCTGGACTGTGGTTTAGAGACTCAGATTTGAAGTGATGACCTTTTTGAGGCACAGTTCCCCCCAAATATATTGTTGAAAAGGATTTTTGTAAATCATAAAATGTGTAGTTCTTAAATGCTTTCCATGGCAACCAGTACCTACATCGTACAGGTATTGTCAAAATTCACATCTCTTGCTTTTTGTTATCCCTTTATTTGTTTTCTTTTTCGGCTTGCACTTGGAAAACAAAAAGAAATCACTCACAGAAACCTCATGCCAGGGTGAGCATGGCTGAAAAAATGATCACTTGGAAGTCTGGAAGTGCCAGGATTCCACGTCTGGGTGGTTTGGCGGTGCTGTGGGCAGTTGGAGCATCGGCTTTGCGCCGCGCGGCAGCGGGAGGAGCGTGGCTCTGCGGGGCAGGGAAAGCCGAGACCCTCCCTGAGCATCGCTGTGGAGCAGAGGGGTCCCGGACCTGGGTTCTGCAGGACAGGGTTAAAAAGGATGGCAACCTGGGGCTGCAAGGGATTTTTTTTTTTTTTTTTTTTTTTTTTTTTCCCAGTGGGAAAAAAATGTGATATTCAAGATGTTTGGACTGTGGGGCTCAGGGAGATGGACATCTCCATTGATGTGCTGCCAGATGGAGGAGTGACCTGTCTGATCAGTCGATAGCAATCAGTGTTTTCTTCTTGGAAATGTCAAACTGAAACATTCCAACATTTCTGAGATGTCTGTGCTCTGGAAAACAGTGGAGTTCCCAATATTTCTCCTTTTATAGGGAAAAAAAAAGGGTCTAAAATTCTTGTGGGAGACTCAACTCCACACCTCACCCACTCAGCGCTCTGATCTGCTCCCTAGGGCCAGACAGGGGTTGCGTGGTGATGGCTGATATTGCAATAAGTTTTATCACCAGTGGTAGAAGTAATCTTAGCTCCAGCAGCAGCCTTCTGGGTGCTTGTCTCTGCAATCTCACCCAAGCTTTATTGAAATGAGAATTTTTATTATTGTCCATTTATTATTCTTATTATCAGTTTGTACAGAATTAAATTCCAGTTTAATTTTAATAATATTTGAGTTATCATTTGACTGTTTATTTTAATTTTAATATGTATCACTAGCAATCAGCCTGTTGCCCACGTGGCCTGTGCAGACCTCTCTGATGGTGCTCTTTGAACAAGCTCAGGGCTTAGTCACCACAGGACTATGAGCAGGCAGTAAAAGGACAAACAGACCTCCTTGTTCTCCATGTGCAGCTCCCAGACATTGGGATCAGTGGACCTGCTCAGGGTGGTACGTAAACAAATGAAAACACTGTCAGATGGAGCAAAAATCTGACAGAGCCAAGAGGAAGCCTTCTCCTCTGCCTGAGATGATCTTCTCCTACAGTAATATCACACCGGGTCCCTCATCGTCAGTCTGTTTTCTCTTCCCTTATTAATATTTCTGGTGTCCTTGGCTCAGCTGACAAAGCTGCATCTTCAAGTAACTCCAGCAAATATGACTCATCCCAGAAGGAGTGGATGGCATGACTCAGTGGAAGGACCAGCAGGATGACTGAAGGTGCGGACAGGGCTTTTTGTAACACATACTTCAAAAGTATCAAGGCACATCTGTTCAAGGTGGCACCAGCACATAAGTCGGTCACGTATTAGCTGTAAACACAGACTGTGTTTTAGAGTTTCTCATAGCTCGCAGCCAAGGAGCTTGATAGAAATCACAGAATCATAAAATCATAGACTGGTTTGGGTTGGAAGGAACCTTAAAGATCACCTAGTTCCAATCCCCCTACCATGGGCAGGGACACCTTCTGCTAGATCACGCTGCTCAAAGCCCCGTCCAACCTGGTCTTGAGCACTTCCAGGGAGGGGGCACCCACAACCTCTCTGGGCACCCTGTGCTCTTCCAGGTTGGGTGAAATCTCAGCTGTGCTCTTTCAGGTTGGATGATTTCCCATGCACCTTGCAAAGCGTCTGAGGAGTCCTTCTGCACTGAAGACTTGGACAATCTTGGGAAGCTCCTGTTAAGATGCTGCGGGGCTTGGTAGGGCTTAGGAGCATGTATGGTGTCTCTGTCTAGGTGAAAATGGGTTGGCTGATTCTTCACAGTCAGCATTTGGATATGTTGCTTCTCTTGGAGGCTCAGTCCAGACAGGTTGACCACTGTGTCCTACGGTGTTGGTGCTTACCAGCATCTTCATGAAACTGGTCAGTGAACATGATGTTTAATGGGAGCACATGCTTCCCATTCCACCCCATGTAGGCAAGGCACCGTGCACAGGGCAGAACAGGGCCAAATCCTGTAGAGACACGTCTGGTCTCCAGCTGAGAGATTTGTGCTAACAGACATTTTCCCAGCACAGACTGCTCATGGTTCAGCACCCACATCTGTTGTCTAAAACATTCAGGGCTGCCGTCATAATTCTATAAACTCTAGGGATTTAAGTCAGTGGATAAGTTTCACTGTCATAACAAAATGGTCCTGGTCAGAGTGTCCACATCTACCTCAGTGTGATGATGGGAACCCTCTTTTCTGCTAGTGGAGCTACTCAGCACCATTTGAATGTGCTGCCTGACCCCAGTTCCTCTGCCGTGGGGCTTCTGGTGCCACTGCTGGCTCCAAGCTCCTGGAAGATGCGCATTGAGAGTGTGAGGACTGATGTGTCAATGACAGAGTTGCTTCATGGCTGCACCAACTGAGTAATTTCTGGTCCTGGGGGTGTGGGACCCTGTTACACCTGGAAAACCTGGGGCTGGATTTTGGATGGAGATACTTTCTTTTTGCTTCAGGCCAGGTAACAGAGGCAGGTAGATGCCAGACAGTCTGGCCACTGTGGCTCACTAGTGCCAAGGTAGGCCTGAAGAAAGAAGAGAAGCATCTTAAATCCCAGATCAACAGTCCAACCTTGATCAGGAGATTCAGTGCCTTGCCACAGAGTGGCACCTCATAGAGTGCTGCCAATATATATCATTTGCAAGAGCTTGTAAAAGCTCTTCTCAAATGAGCCAACAGTCAAAATCCCTGACCAGGGACTTCAGTTCCCAGATACCTTAATGCCAAAGAAATGGTGCTTCAGCAGCTGCTGGCTGGCTGGACTGTGCCAAGGCTTGGGATGCCACATCAGAGCAGCAGGCTTTTCCTTATCTTCCCAGTGAGGGATAATGTGTAAGGAGCCCAAGGAGGGCTCAGAGTAGAAGGAAAAGTGTCAGTTGGGTTGGTCTCATCATGCTTTGGTTGGAGATGTGGCTGGCCAAGTTTGGCCCTTGGAGACTGCTGGAAGGGCAGACGGGGCTGGGCAACCCTTGGGTCACTGCTTGCTGTAGGTATGAGTTGCTGGCAAAAAACAGGAGGACTTTGAGGAAAGGCCCCTAAAGGGCAAGGCAAGGAGGTCTCTGAAGCCAAAAGCTGCTGCCATGCGAGAGGTCAGGAGGTGGGGAGCACAGTCCACAGACCAGGGGCGGCACTGGGGGTTACTGGGGTTGTGACTTGTCTCCCACCCAGGGGAGATCCTCAAGGATGGCTTTGTTCATGGTGGAGAGAGGTCTCAGCCACGAGCACTGTCTGCTTTTGGGGTTTCCCTCACCACGGGTGAGGGCATAAAGCTCTTCAAACTGAAGCACTGATGCTCATCATGGCCAGGCACCATCATTCCTCAATCTCATCCAAGCATGGCTTCAATGAGGGAATAGGCATACAGTTTTTAAAAATAAATCAATAAATAAATTGGGTTAAGTCTTCTCTGCCAGCTCTAGTGAGGAGCGAGCAGTACTTGAGCTGGCACACCCATGGAGAGGGCTGGGTGTCTGTGGTGCTTCTGAGACATCACCAAACTGCCGCCAGCACGGACAGGGCCACGCATCCCCCGTCTGCTCCATCGGCAGCTGCTGCTGACATTTGAGTTGAGCCCATTCTGATAGTTGTCTTGCTGCTGTCGTGTGGTTTGACCCAGAGATTATTTCATTGCCTGCAGCTTCAGCAGGCTCCTTTTGTCCTGTTGAAGTGACCTTGTTTCTCAGCAGACACCTGCGAAGTTCACACGTTTCCCCCCTCTGTTGTGATTCATTTTCTACATTTTTTTAATTCTGCAGAAGGGCGGTATAAAATTGTCAGATCTTTTTATGTGGCAGCAGCTTCCATTTGGTTTTGGATTTTGCTGTTTGGGGATTATTTTTTGCAAGGAGAAACACCAATGCTATTGCATGGTGGATGTGCCAGGTTTTAATAAGGCTTGTCATTAGCACGATCAAACTTTTTCTTTGCCAACAACCCATGACACTGCCCATGTAGCTCCAACAAAATCTCTGAGATGAAGTGGGCTGCCATTTCCCATGGGAAGGCAGGTAAACATGTGCTCCTGGTCTCGGGCACCGAGTGCATTGCTTTCCAATGTTGGCTGGGTATTTCTCTCAAGGTTTTGAAGCTTTCCTCTCCTAGTCTTTACCTCAGTGGTTTCATCTGTGTCTCTGCAGGATGGATGACATTCAGCTTTGTAAAGAAATCAGCCGGCTGAAAAAGGAGCTTCAAAAACTCATAGCTCTTCCAGGTAAGGCTTTGTAAAGCTTCAGAGGCCTGCACCCTGCCACTGCAATCAGCAGAAAGGTTTCCTCTTCCTACAAGCTCTTGAATGGCTCCCACCCTGGGATGCTCCCAGAGACACTGCTGCTGTAGGCAGCGCGTGAGCATCAAGAAATGTGGCTCCCTGAGTCTGTCCTGACATCTTCCTTGGGAGTTTTGCTGCTTGCAGTACTGCCAGGGAGTCCTTGTCCAGGCCTGGGCTGAAGGGCAGAGGAAACAGAAAAGGAGAGAAAACGTGAGTCCTTTGAGGAAGATCTTCAGTCTGGTATAGGAGGAGAGCAGGAGGTGAGTGAGGTGGCAGTGAATGCAGGCACAGTGGGACCTGCCACGTACAGTGAGGAGCATCCCCAGAGAAGTTGAGAGGGCAGGCAGGGAACGCGGTCAGACCACACCATGGAGGGGCCCTTTTGGAAGTAGCAGGAGAGGAGATGCCTTCAAAGGCCTCGAGTGTGTGAAAAGGAATGAATCCTTGCTGCAGCCATGTCAGAACTGTGTGTCAGTGATGGGGCAGATGGCAGCAGCTGCCAGGGAAGGACTCCTGGTTGCAGCCAGGGTAGGATGGGTGCTAGGGGGACATCATGGCAAAGGGGCTTGGCGATGTCCCTGATTTAGGTGAATTCATCATTTGGGATGTTGAAAAGAGGCAAACAGTCCAGGGCAACATATGTGAAGACTTCAGCTGGGATAAAATGCTGCTTTTGTCACCCCCTTACCACAACCAGTGACCCTCCATGTCCCTGTCACAGCCAGAGCCACCCTTGTCCCTTCACGGCCCATGAAAGACCAACCTTGTTTCTCTAAAGGATCCCCCCTCAGCCAAAGTTTTCAAATGAAAGCACACACCAAACAGCTCAGGATTTGAATGAGCATGAACAAGAAAGGCTTCTCCACAAGCTGTGTCCCTCGCTGCTCATAAGGCTACGCGTTCTCCTAGGACATCCTCATTCATCCCCCAGGAAGGACTTCATGTGTGTTTTCAGAACCCTGTGGGAGACATATCCCTGCTTATTTTTACCCATCCAAACATCAAGATTTAGACCTCGGTGATTTCCACCACTAGTATCTCTCTGAAGACGCTGCACTCACTGAGACCAATGAGTGTGCAGCTGGGGGGCGATGCCTCGATGCAGACAAGGGACCAGCTGTGCACATCTGTTTCCCAGAGCAGCAGCTCAGCTCATCGCTTTGGTACCCAAAGTTATCTCAAAGACACGAGTGGCGAGAAACCTTGACCCTTTCTGATGCCACAGTGTTGCTATGCTGTGCGTGCTTGTGAATCTTCAGCACACAGTTAGAGCCCGTCTGCTGCTTGATATGCAGGTCTTGATCAGTTTAATACAACCTGGCTGCATCCACAGGGAGGTTCAGACAGGGAAGCGGAGGATTCTGCCATAAAAACAGGACCTGCTTGCAAAACTTAGACCCAAATCTCATGTGGGCTTTTAATTCAAACACTTTCTGGTTCATAAAACAAGACTTGACCTAAACAATGGCTCAGGACCAGAGATAAAGTTGGTCTTTTCTGAAGCTGAAGAAGTGTGTCTGGATTTCCCTCATCTTCTCTGGTCTCTCATTTCTAGTGTTTTCAGCTTTCCCAGATTCAGCTGAGAGCAGAAATTCTGCTTGCATCAGGGATGCTCTTTGTGTCTTCTTTATAACTTCACTGAAATCAGACTGTTGAAAAAATCCTTGTGAGGTTATTGCAGCAGATGATTCGTAAAAATGGGCACTGAACTTTGTTTCGGATAAAGATTCAAACACGTCAGTGTTTACTCAGAGCTCAGCCAGACCTGTGGCCTGAAATCTCTCCAGACCAAGGTGCCTTTAATAATTCAGAGAGATATCGTGGTCATGACGGTCTCTGACATCAGCAAGTTGGAAAAAAAAAAGATGCAATGTTTGTACAGTGGGTATGTTAACTCTGACATGCTCCAACTCAAGAATGTAGATTGTTAATTAATTCCAAATAGCTGGTATGTTTGTGTACAGCCTGATGCTTCCAATCTGTATGCCATCCAAATGACACTGTAAAGTGCTCCTATTCCTACCAGGCAGGTGGGAGCTGTTGCACAGAGACAGTGCCCATGGCCAGATGACTTTGCATTAACTCTTCAAGGTAGACCAGCATCTGTGGCCCAGACCTCAGTCCAGATCAGATTTCTCTGCCAGGAAGCTCAAGCTCACTCCCTGCACAGGACCACAATTGTAGGAGAAACCTTTGTTTCCTGGGGTTGTTTCCAATAACATGATGATGATGAGAAGTTCCTCCTACTCAGAGCCCTGCAGCAGCACCTCTGATCAATATATAGCAGACTTTAAACTACAAATCAATACATAGTTTAGGTAACTCCTGAGACCCAGCCTACAGGGCTTGCTCCATACTGTGAATTTCACTGCATTTTTATTTAGCTGAAGGAAGACTGGAGATTGATCCAGCCTGTGCCGGATTGATTTTGGAGCTGGCTGCTGAATTCAGAAATGGTATTAAATAGCTGCAGCACAGACAATCTAGTTTCCACCCAAGGTAGCTCTGCATTTATATTTAACACTCCTTAGCCCTATCTCTATCATCTTTATGTATCCCACTTTACCATTACATACCAATACATATAGGACATGAATTCATAGTGATGTGAGAGTTTTCCAGGTCTTCACTAACTCACTGCCCAAAGATACGTAACACAAGTGGGTCCCACTGCACTCCAGGTCGGTCAGTCTGGGGGTTCAAGTGACAACCGAGGCTAACGCATTCACAACAGCCTGGCAGGCACTTGTGGTCATCCTCGTGTCTGGGGTGGGAATGGGGCTGACAGTGGTGTGAACGGTCAGATGTAGAGGATGAGATCACCAGGACTGTGTTCAGCAAAAGAATAACACTACAAAACCAGTGCATTGTATCAGTTTTCATGTCTCTGTGTGTATGGGATAAATGGTCGTGTGAGGTGTTCCCAAGGCATCTGGGCACTGTTGATAATTCCCTATCCACTGAATCCCTCGGCCACATGGAAGACCAGTCTCAGAGGTCGCTGGGACCCTACCCAGCTCAGGACCAAGCTGAGACTGGTTGGGTGTGCTAACATGGGAAATGTGGGTTAAGCACATCCTGGCTGAAGGATGACATCCGAGTGACATTTCTGAGCTCTCTGAGACCTGGTACCCAGCCTCTTCAGCAGTGCAGGCTGAATACCCCAGGGGAGCCATTGTCATCTCCCACCAGAGAGGTCACCTTGTTGAGGGGCCCTTTCTCTGCTCTGCAAAGCTCACAGTTGCATCTTGCAGTGCTCAGCCCCATTAAAATTCTGGCTAGAAGCTAAAAATTCAAAGTTTGATGACGCTAGACCTGTCTCCTCCCAGCCAGGGTGGTCTGGGCTGAGATTGTTGATTATTTATCAGTCTGTATCTGGATCCAGGTGCACACTGTGGATTGGCTTTTACCTCTGCTCTCATATCTGCTTCTGCATCGAGCAGAAGCAGAGCAAGCGTGGCCTTGGCATTGGTGGGATGGCCCATCTTGGTGTGTTAAATGTGTTCCCTGTGCTGCAGAGAAAGAGAAGTCCAATGAGGAGAAGCAGAGGGAAGAGGAGCTGGTACAGCAGATACACAAGCTGGTGGAAACACGGGATTTCCTGGTGGATGATGTGGAATTTGAGAGGCTCAGGTAGCTGGGTGCAATTTATTCCTTACACCGAGGACGGTGCGGTCTGTCCTCTGATCTGTATCATGCCTTGCCAGATGGTCCTGGATGCCTTGCTGCACCTTTCCTGAGTGATAACCAATCTCTTTGTCACAGGGAAAGGGAAGAAGACAAGGAAATGGCAGAGTTCCTGCAAAGTAAGCTCTCCAAAAGCTACCTCCAGAAAGCAAGTAGGTGGTTGATGCATTTTATTCCTTGCACTGAGCCTCCCTGGCCATTTCTCCCATTTCCTAAGCACTCTGTCTCAAAGAGTTCATTGCTCTGTGCTAGTTTACCTGGAGACTATCTGTTGCTGAAAAAGGGTGTGGGAAATGGCGGTTGGGGGATGCTGGTGCTTGAGATCACATTGTGGAAACATCCCACATCAGTACAGATGTTATGCTTCCATTTCCTTCCTGGCCTTTCCCAGCCACCGTGTCCTGTGAGAATGGGGATGAGTAGGCATCCTTTTATGGCTGATGTACTTCATCTGACCCTTTCCAATCAGCTCCTTGCATTTCATCGCACCATTACCTAAGGTCACAAGCTGTGATATCCATCCAGTCCTCCTCTCTTCATGGCCTCCGATGGCAGGCTACCCTCTTCCCTTTGCCTCCATCATTGCTGGAGGAACACCTCCCCAGTGCAGTGGGAGGCATTTCCAGTCTGGGGTCCCTGTGCCTGTGTCCTGCCTGTGGACATCCACGAATCACCCATGGTGATGTGCCTCCTGGATGCAGGAGCTCATGCCCAGCTTGTGGGTCTGAGGAGGGTCAGCATCTTAGCCTTGAAAGGATCTCTAAGAAGCAGTGACGGGCCTGTGCCCTTATCATCAGGCAGACACTGATTCCTCTTTCCATAGCTCCTGTCAAAGAGAAGAAAATGACTTCCAGAGGGCAGCAAACCTCTGCACCATACATGACCAAAACGGGCCTCACCCTGCTCAAGGAGTGCTGTGGCTTCACCTGCTCCATCATGTAGGCCAGCCCCCAGCTCCTCTGCACAGGATATGACCATGGTAATGTCCATGTCCTGGGAAGCTGGGCTGGGCAAGAGGGGCTTCCTTGGTGTGCTGAAATGGCCAAGTGCCCGTGTGGGGTGGGTGGGCACCAACATCTGGGAGGTGCACAGCTCCTGGTGCTGCAGGCGTGGGGTGTGAGGGACCACCAGGCTGCAGCCCTGCCCTGGAGGGGCTGCAATCAGGGAAAAGGGCTGGAGCCCCTCCGAGTCCTGAGAGAAACAGCGGTGGTCATGACTGGGAGGAGGACAAGGAGATGGCGGGAGCTGGGTGGAGGGGGAAGAGAGATGGAGAGCAGGGAGGAGCAGGGCCAGATACATGGCAGGCAGTGTACCCCAGGCACCAAGGCATCTCCTTGTAACCACGTACAGGAGGGAGGTGTTGGTCAAATGTACCACTGCTGTGCACATAGTGCTCATGGAGTTACACCACCAATGCCTTTGTCTTCTCGTAATATCTTCTCGCAATATCTTTTTTTTCTTTGTCTTCTCGTAATATCTTTTGAGGGCCCTCACGTGCCTTCTCACATGCCTTCTCCCACCTGCTCCTTTTCAGCATGTTCCAGTTAAAGCACTGGCATCTGCTGACAGCCACAGGTACCCAACTGTAAAGTGATGTGCCCATCGTTTTTAAAACAGCAGGCCAGGCTGTGTCAATTGTACAGGACTATCCTCTGGCTGCCAAGGGGCAACCAGACAGTTCCTGTCCATTTGCCAATGGTTCAGGACATAAACTCATTCTGAACATTGTCACTTTGTAGAAGTCTCAGGGAGTGGCAGACCCCTAGAGAGGTGCTTGTTGCCATTGCAGCCTGGTAGGCACTTCCCCACCTTATCCCAGGAGGAGGCTGAAGTGACCAGGCTCACAGAGGTGGGTGGCTGGATCACAGCTGGACCAGCTCGCCTGGCTCAAGCTGCCTCCCTACTCCAATGCCTATGCATGACTCTGCTCCACAGCACATGCTGCCAAAATTGGTGTTTGTGAGCAAACAAATCAAGCAAGGCCTAAATAGCTTGGTGTGGGATGGAGCAAAGACTGAACTGGTGATAACTGGTGAGATCAGCTCACTCCTGCCCAGGGTATGATGAAGACACAGGTGAAGCAAGTCACAGTTGAGATGAAGTTATGCCTATAAGGATGTGCTTTAATACATTTGAAATGAAATTCTGTGCTCCAGCACTGCAAATCTGAGACCAGATCTTACAGCTCATCACAGGGCAGCTGGCAAGGAGGTGAAATCATCTGCTCGCTGAGCTCCCACCTTCCTCCTCCATGCCTGAGCTTCACCCAGGAGGTGATGAGCATGGCCAAAGCTGAGTGCTAGGTCCCGACTGACAGCATGTGTGACAAGCACTGTGCAAGAGGAAGATGATGGTGATGGAGGTCCAGTGGCTTGTAGTCTCTGTGGGAGGAGACATCTCATCCTTAATACTGCTGGAGACTTCCATCATGGCAGGTGGCCTGACACCCAAGAGTTAGTCTCATTGGAATTAGGCAGTCTCTAAAGCAGGGTTGGCTCTCTAGACACTGGAGAAGGGAGGCACCAAGGGGATCCCGTGGTTGCAATCCACGATTTCCTATCTCTTGACTTTCCTCCCTAGGTCTCCAGGCAGAGTCCACAATCTGCTCGCCTCCGAGAGTTTCAACTTCCCGTCATTGCTCATGCTTCCCACTGCAGCACCACCACCAAAGAGACTTCCCAAGCAGGCTGGTGCAATCTTGAATGATGGCGTGTGTCCCTGGTGCCATGTCAACGGTTGTCTCCTCCATGACATCAACAAACACCAAATTCCACCTGAGCTCAGCTTGGAAGAGGTGTGTGCAGCAGCAGCAAGCGAGTCCACGACAAAGAGGACCAGTGCAGCCCTTCACCCAGACAGAGTAATAAAAAAAGCATTGGGAGCTAAAGTTTAGAGAACCTTGTGCTCCAACATTCAAGAGATGCTGTGGCCTCAGATGATGTCTCATCCTTAGCCTTGTGCCACCTTGTGAGTTCCTGAGGACTCTTGATGGGGAATGTCTCTGGGCTGGCTTTCATCGGTTTTATTGCAAGGTGCTCTGTGGCTCTGAGCAAAGCGTGAAGGGCAGTCCCCAGAGCCAGCTGAATGAAGGGCTGATTCTTGTGATGTTACCACCTGAGCACAGACCTGGCATGTTGAACTACAGGCAGATGAGTTGCTTTCCCCACCTCACTATTACTGGATTCATTTTTCAGCTCCAAGAAAAAGGAGGAAATTAAAGCAAAAGAGAAAAGGAGAAAAAATCGGAAGAACAGGGCAAAATGCAGAAGGAAATGAAAACCAAACAGGAGACTGGAAAAGTGGCAGGGGAAGGTGGAGACAGCAGGTGAGAGACACTCTCACTGCCAAGAGGGCATTCAGTCCTGCCTTCCAGTGCTCCAAACAGTGCCTCTGGGCTTGGCAACATGAGCTGGCCATAAAGTCCTGTGCAAAAGACTCATGGCACCCTGAGGTCACCCACTGTTTTGGTTCCCGTTGTCCCTTCTAAGCATCCACCCGTGTTGAGGTGGCACAGCCAGAGCTGCTAATGCCCATCGTGACAGGAGAGGGGCTCTCTCGCTGGGTGTGAAGGCCTCCCACATCTCCCTCCCTGCCTGCCCTTATGCCCTGTAGGCTGCTGTGGCTTCACTGGTTGTCGTGGGTTGGCTTCCCATTTGGGTGGCTGCCCAAGAGCTCTGGCTGCCCTCTGGACAAAATGCTGATTCCTCCAGCTCAGTCCTGTGGCAGCTTGATGTAGGGTCTTGAGATGGTGTTCCTGCCTGGATCACTGTCCGACATGCCCATGCCGGGGAGACAGTCACAACCCATTTGGCTCTTTCCATTAGACCTAATAGCACATTCATCCTTAAAAGATACAATGCAGGTAGGATCCTTCGTAGTGCAATCCCATAATCAGGTCCAAGTTCCTTCTACATTTATCAGCACTGCCAGAAAACCCAGTGTGTGGGAACCTGTTGTCTAACCTTTGCCAGGGGGTTTCCACTCCTGAGCAATCTCCTCCCCTTATGGATCTTGCCAGCAACCAGAAAAGTCCACAAGCTAAACCAGTCCCTCTGCACACTCACAGACCAGGGTGCAAGGCCTGAATGAGCTGATGTGACACCTTGTCATCTCTAGCAAACTTGACTTCACTTTGGTTCGTGTCACCTCTGGGCTGACCTCAGTGATCTCAGTCTGAAGCCTGCTTACTTTGTGCTGCTCATTGTTAGTGTCCTACAGCATCCTACAACCACCACCTGCCAGTTCCTGGTGCTCTCCTTGCTTAGTGGGAGGCTTCACCGTGGGCTGGAGGGAGCACCCTGTAGATCACAGGAGCAAATTAAGTCACAGAGAGCTCCTTTCCACTTTGCCAACCCTGTGTAACGAAGTGAGGTTCAGTACACAGTTGGGGTTGTTGTCCAGTCCGGGGTGACAGGCCATCATTGGCACCATCCATCCTGGAGTTGATGGGACAGATCGGGCCACTTGCTCCCTGCTCTTCCAGAAACTGTCCAGTGGCTGTTTTGCTCGGTTGCTCTGTGGTTACGTGCGCGGTGCAATGCGGGTGTTTGCTTTGATCCACACAGACCAAAGGCTCAAGACCTAGAAGGTCCCTCTCACTGTCCTCGCCTTCCCCAAGGCCTTCTTGGGAAGGGTGAGTAACAAATCCAGTTTGGTTGGCAAGGAAAAGCCTTTGATTCAAAACTTGCTCTCCTCATTCATCCCTACCTCCACCCTACAAGCCCCCAAGACCCAGACTTCAGCTGCAGAGCAGGCAGGGAGGATGGCTGGGGGGAGATGGGCAAGGTCCTGGACTGTTTTGTTCTGTGTTTGTGTGGCCGGTCATGGAGAAGGAGACAGGCTGCTGCCCTGGTCATACGATACTATTTGGCCTGTATTTTATTTGATGGCAGAGGTGTGCAGCACACGGGAGCGACACTGTTTCATGTGCATTGATTTCAACCCAAACAAATAAATGTCTGTTGGAAGCTTGGTTCATAGGTATTTCCCCCACCCGGGGACTTTGTAGAGAGATGTCTCAGTTTGTGTCACAGCAGGGTGGTTGAAGTGGAGCAGAAACAAGATTCTAAAAAGTCAGGCTGGACTTTGGAGCTATTGCAGTACAGGGCAGCTCCTGCTGCTGCAGCAACGTATTCAACCCTTCCATTTCTGGCTCTCGTCCTAACATTGCACTTTTGGGCCAGGCTGAAGAATCTTTGGAAAGGCAAGAAACTGCCTCCCTAGGTTATTACCCTTTAATGCTCAGAGCCCTGAACTGTTTTTATGCATTTGTTCACTGACAACAGCCTTCTGTCCTCACCAAGCCTCAATGGTACCATTTATAGAGGGGTTTTGGAATATCAAATGTCTTCTATATGTGGCAGTTTGCTTAGTGGATCACTGAAGGGGGGTCTGGCTACACCATGTCTTATCTTGGCCCCCGTTTCTCCCCCTCCTGTATCCCACCCCCAGGTGCTCTCAGGAGGAGGAGCAGGACTGGCAGGTCTGCACATTGTAGGATCTTGTGGGCTTTTGTGTTTCCTCTTCTTGGGATGGGTCATTAAAGAACATATGAGAGGCATCTCATGGTGGACATGCTGGAGAAGACAAGGAGGTGGGAGATGGGCCCAGCAGGAGCACAGAGTCAGGACAGAGTGTGCTTTGCTGGGTCTCATCAGTTGTGTAGGACGAGGGAAGCTTGCAGCCACTCACAGATGAGACGTGGTTTTCTGCTAGTGACTGCTGAGGGAGGACCAGGAAGCTCTGGCACTCACATCCTCTCTTGGACCAGGTGGCTGGAATTTGCAAAAACAATGCTCTAATTTGGTTTTAATGATTTCCGTGTCTTTGCCATCTGGCACCCAATGGTGTTTGGCATGCCAAGTCCTGCAGAAGTGCTAATCATGGGTTTAACAAGCCAGCACTGTCTTCTGAAGTCACCGCTGAAGGCAGTGGTCAGTGCTAGCACGGGGTTGTCCTGGTGCCTCCTTGCAGAGTGCCCAAGAGGGGAGGAGGCAGGTCTCCAGGTGAGCATCCTGATGGATCTGGAGCTGACAGTGCCTTTCTGTACAGCCGTGCTCTGTGTCAGAGCGTGTCCCTGTCACTTGGACTGCATGGTGTCCTCTCTGCAGCTGGCCACTCTGGGCCACAAGCCCCTCCAGTGGGAATCCCACCATCAGTGCTGGGGCAGAGCAGGGAGTGCGGCAGTGAGGACCGGCGTTGCTAGCTCATGCCCACACTGATGGAATAGCAGGCTGCTCCACAGGAAATGTTGACAGAGTCCAGATTAAGCGAATAACAACATCTTAATGTGCCGGGGATTTTCCATCAACAAGAGGCAAAACAGACTGCAGATTTAGCCAATACTTTAATCATCTCTTCTCTGTGCCAAGAGAAAGAAAACTTGCAAAAAAACCCACCCAACCCCCCAAAAACCAACGCAAACAAATCCAAACACTGTAATTCCCCAAGGAGAAGGCAGGCTATTAACACATAAAACTTGTTTATTATACACAGCATCACAGAACTGAAACCCTGATACCTGATTAGGTAATTTTAGCCTTTGCTTCCATTTCCCGTGGCATCATGAGTCACATTGGTTTTGCTTTGCCCGAGAAATGGAATAAAGCTGGTAGGAACTGCATCTTTGTGATGCTCAGCACACTGTGCTCGGGCAGTGGGTCCTGCCCTCTCCTCTGCTGGTGCTGAAGCCCCTGACCAGGATGGCTCCAGCAAAGAGGAGAAGGGGAGCACGGTGGGTGGTTCAGGAAACCCTGCCAACGCTGACAGTCCCCTCTCTGGAGCAGGACTCCATGATGAACACAGCTCCGGCTTGGCATCTTCTGGCATCTCACAAGTGGTGAAAGCAGAGCTTGTCTTTCTGCTAGGCTGGGGATGCCTCGGCTGGCTTTGCTTTAGAGGGTTTCCTTCCTTCCCAGCTTCCAAGGGAAAGAGAAGCGGAAGGATGAAATTAATTTTATAGGCTGGAGCAGCCAGACCCCCACACCCCTATTACTCCTGATTCCCTTTCCAGACAAGCTTGACCAAGGATCCCTTCACCCCAGTCACGACAGTGTCAGTGCCCACTTGGGGTACCACCTTGTCCTCTTTAACCCATGGGCACCATCTTTTGCCAAGGCTGCTTGAAGAGACATATTTAGGGGTTTCTAGTCATGTGAGGAGAGGTGAGGAACTCAGGTAATTTAGACATCTTGTAGCCATCCAGGGCACAACCTGTACTCCATAAGCTGGCCAGAGCTGCTCAAGTAGACTCGACAACACAGAATCATTGGGCTGGAAAGTCAAAAACTACTGTTGTGATGGTCGCATCTCTCTGAGTGTGCTGCTAGCTATGAAGACTACTAGTCATGGCTCAGAGAGGAATCCAATTCCTTCTGGAGCAGTCAAGGAAATACCTTCTTGTCATGCCTTCCCACCCGGGAGAAGGCCAGAGACAGCATCTCCTCTGTGTCACCCCCCTCTGTCCTTCCAGCAGCTTGGCTGGGTCTAATCCAGGCCGGTGTTTGACACAGCTTTGTCCCACCACCCTGCTCATGACAAAGACATCTGGCACATTTCTGGGGGTAACTCCCTTCCCCTGATGTGCCCGCAGATAGACATCCCTGGGGTCCTGTTTTCTTCCTCTGCTAGCTTGCCTGCGATCCCTGTGGTGGACAGCCTGACATTGTCCCTTTTCAAGAGCTTGCTCAGCTGGTCAGAAGGTCACAGTGCTGCATCTAAGGAGCCATGACATCTGTCCAGCTTTGTGGAAGAAGAAGAATTAGATGCAATGCCTCCCAGCAATCTGGGACTCAAGTGTGGCTTACTCATGCCTGGGTAAGGACTTTGTTTTGGGGGAGGATCTGCTATCTTTGCTCTGCTGCTGTGGTGTGAATGGTGCATAAGAAAAGTCAAAATCTGCCCTCAAGTTTCAATTGCTGGTCTGGATTTCTAAAACCAGACATTTCCCTGTGTGAGGTCATGGATGGGGCCACAAAACCAAGCAGTTCCAGCAAATGATGCTGCAGAGCAGCATCCACACATGCTGTGGTTTCATGTTTGGGATGGTGAGGGCTGTTAGGGCTTAGCAGAACCAAACGGGACAACAGGACCAGTCAGGAGCACAGGTCTTCAAATTGGCCTTTGAGTAAAGCTATAAGGAACATGCTGAGTGTGATGTACTGGCTGAGAGATGGACACTGCCAGGCCCGGTCTGCTGAATGAAAGGAAGAAAATACATTGAAACAGATCATAAAGTGCCTGGTTGGACCAATGTGTCTCACTGTCTTTCTGTCTCGTGCTGAATGTTCCTCAGAAGAGCTCAGCTCTGGCATCCAGATAAGAGACAAGTCTCTGTGCTCGCCAGCACTCAGTGTCCAATGGACTTCAGGAAACCTGGCCCATCAGTCTGTTCTCTCCATCAGCCCAGCCTGGAGACAGCTGTGCCCTCAGAGCTGTAGCTCCCCATCTTCCTCAGCAGCTGGGCAGAGCTGCTCCTCTCCCGTTAGCTCCCATCAGCTGCCACCAGTGAGATGCATCAAAGTGGGAGACGGGGTGGCTGTGGGTGGAAGGAGAGGGGACAGCTGAGTCACCTCTCAGGATGGGTGTAAATGCTCCTGGTCCCTTTGGATACGTCACTGCCAAGATAAGAGGCAAGGGCACAAACATGAAAAACATCATCTCTGCTCGGATGAGTCATGACTTGACTTTTCCAGAGCAGGCAGCAGCCCTTCGTATCATCACCAGTGCCTCTATGAGACACCAACGTCTGGGACCCCTGAGGGTCTCAGCAAGGTTCACTGTCTCCTACTTGTTTTTTTTTTTTTTCTCCCTCCTCTGCTATTGCGTATTTGATCTCACAGAAGAGCAAGGAAGGCCAGCATCCGAAGATGCTGCTGACTTTGGGGCAAAGGGTGTCAGAGCGAGCCCTGGCACCGTGAGCTCCTTGTAAGGCCTAGTCCCAGGGCTGAGCATTGGATCACTCCATGAAAACAAAAAGAAATATATTTTCTCACACTGCAAGGAGGTGTTAATGCCAGGGCTTTCACTGCACCCACGGGCTCTGTGACCCCCTTCCCCACCTGCCAGGGGTTTGGTTGCCTGTGCTCAAGGTCAGCCCTGACGTGGGACAGCCACGTACCCTGGGATCCGACTGCTGGGAAAACAGATAAGGCATGAGAAGGAGCCGCGTGGAGCTTTTGCTGGACCTTCCCCTGCTTTGCTCGGGAGTTGCCTAGATCCTTGCCCTTGGTCCTTGCCTTGCAGGTAAGCTGTGCCCAGCCTTGTACCGGGTTGATTTTCACCTTGCCTTGCTGACTTGACTTTCTGTCTTCACCTTGGACCTGCCTCATCACTGCAGACTAGCGTGGGAATCACTGGACACAGCCTTGAACCTCTCTGCTCTTGCTCACACAGCACCTCATCCTGTCGGTGAGGATATCCTTCTGCCTGCTTTACTGTCACCTTAGCTCCTTCCCTGGAGGAGCAGCCCACTCTTGCCCCTCCCTGACTGTTATTATCCCTGCTTTACAGAATGAACATAATATAATCATTAAAGTGTAGGCACATGGTGGCTGCATAAAGTTGCAACAGCTTTTACTTTTCCTTGCCAGCTGAAATGCAAACTGCCATTCACCTCCCACTGCTCTGGGGATCTATTCAGAAGAACATAGGGCATGTCGTGGCCCACACTGCATTTACATGTCAAGGTTTCAGAAAGAAAGGAGCTCTTCTTCCACATATAACAGCTGAGAAGCAATTACTGCCCTTGCCTCTGCAATGGAGGCTTTTACTATTGTGTTTTCTTCTGCACTGGCGTCACACTGAGGACACTGCACAGGGTCATTTTCTGCTGATGGATGGTAACTCACTAAGCTTCAATGGCCCAACATGGGTCTGAGCTCAGAGGCTTGAGGGAAATTGGGTTTCCTGGATGAGTTCTTGCTGAGACCTGACCTAAGGTACTGTGTTTCTAATTGAGTTTGCCTATGAATTCAAACTTGCAGAGATAGCAACAGCAAAGTCACAGAGGGAGCATCCTCTGTTTAGACTCTGCACCAGGTGTTCCCACCCCGAACTCATCGTTCCTCTGCTTTCCAAACGAGCAGCCAGCACCAGCTGCAGGATGCATCTGTTTTCCTTGTTGCTTATGAAAGCACAGATTTGGGGAAGGGAGGGGGTTCATCTGTGCCTTCCACACTCTCAAAGGAAGAAAGGCAGACCAAGGAAGGGGTCAGGTGTCTGAGCAACCCTCAGGCTTTATAAACATGGACCAACTGGACTCAGGCTTTTCTGAGGGATGCTTTAGCTGAACCCATAGGCTCAGGACAGGAGTTAACTACGGGAGAGAAGGGAGCAAGAGCATGTGATCAATGGTCACTGGCCTCAAAATCTGCAAGCTTATGTCATTGGGTCTTTGGTCCATTAAAAGGTCCTCCCCAAAAGCCTCTGAGGCTGTCCTGAAGTCCACAGTGTGTCTCCAGAGCCATTTTTAGTCCTCTTGTTCTGTATTCATCACGTTAGCACTCATGATGAACAGCGGTGCAACAGCTTTGGCTGCTTCATCCTTCACCTATATCCATGCTCCACACTTTCTCCAACAGCTTGAGGGGGAAGGTGAGTTTCAGTGCATAGCACATGGCTGTGCAAAGAAATCCACATCCACGGATGTGATGGTGGAAGATCTCTGAAGCTTTCCAGAAGCACAGTCCTGCCAACCTATTGATATATCCCTCTCAAATATCTGAGAGCTTATGCTGAGTGGGGGGTCTAAATGGGAACACTAGTACTAATCCTTATTTAAGACTATACTCCTGTCCCAGCCTGCTCTCCCTATCTTGTATACTTTGCTGGGACACTGCCTCCTCCAACCAGAATCCCATCAGCCAGAGAAGGCACCCCTTCTGAATGGTGTTTGGGGTGAAGCTGTGGGATGGAGCCACTCTGATGTTTCCAGTCCTCCCAGGAAATGAAGAGACACCTTAAAAAATTTGCTTATTTTTAATAGTATAAAAGGTGTCAGCAACTGTGCAGGACAGAAGAGCCCGAAAGGGTATGAAACTTCAGTGCTCTAACCTACGGTGGAGTCTACAATATCTGTAGGGCCCGCTGTCCTCTTTCCCTTCCCACCCTGCTGAGCCTTTGCTGGCAGAGCAGGTGATGTTGGCATGTCCCTCATAGATCCATAGGTATAGATGCTCGCTGGCGGTTCCGTTTCACCTCCATGGAGATGTCTGTGAAGTCTTGAATAAACTGCTGAATCTAAGGTAGGGAAGAGAGATGGCAGATCTCAGAACAGGGATGGGAACAGGAGGCAGAGGGGAGCTTGTTGGCCCTTCTGGAGGGCAAATTTTACCAACCAATCTGGGCACAAGGATAAGGCATTTGCCTTGCCGGATCTGCACCACCACAGTGGGCTTTTCTGGGTGAGTTTGGGTTCAGGGCAAGGGTGAATGAAACCAAACCTTGTCCATGGGTTGATCTGCATCCCCTGCATCCCCTGCCCCAGCCATCCTGGCTCCCACTCCCTCTACCCCCGCAGCGACCCACACCCTGCTCTGCCTCATCAGCCGAGGCAGGTTTGCCTGGTGTCTCCTGCTCATTCCCCGTGCCCCAGAGAGAGCCCAGGTGAAAAGGGAGGTGTCTGCTGGGCACACTGATTCCTCTGGGCTCTCCCCTCCCTTTGGGCAGGCGAGAGCCATTGCTGCTCCTCTTTCTGGGCAGGGAGAAGGGGTCTGGTTTGGCTCTACCATGGTCAGCTGTCTGTGGCTGTCATCCATCGGCACGTTCAGGTTTTCTTTCATCTGTTTGCTCATGCACTGGAAGAGGCTGAGGATGGCCATCTTGATGCTCCCCAGCTTCAGGGTTTTCTTGGCAGTTGTATCCTGGATGTCAGCCCAGGAAGTCTCCTGAGAGGAGAGGAGACATGCAGCATAGGGACATGCCCCAGCAAAGATGCTGCTTCAGCACTGGAGACCGTGGCTTAGAGACTCTGGCTTGGAGACCCTACCTTCCACACTCATCTGTTTTGCTAGGAAGGACCTGTCCTTGCCCAGGGCTGTGATGGTGGTGGTTCAGCTTGGTGTGGTGGAAGCAGATCCAGGAACCCCCAGAGCTGCTCCTTGCCCCAGGAACCTCCCCAGCTCACTGCCAGCCCTTCCTCACTCTGGCGGGTCCTCCCTGCAGGCCCCATTTGGTTTCCCCGCAGCAGGGATGGCTGATACCCAGGGAGCAGCACCTCCCACTGCCACCCTCCCAGACTAGGTGCTTTCCAGCTTCGTCTGACGTGATCCAACTCCTGGAGCCTGGAGTATCCAGCAAGGGGATTTAGTAAGGCCTCCTCAGGGTGACATAAAGGGAGCAGAGGCCAGCAGAGCTGAGGGCATTTCTGCACACGGAGCACTGGCTGCACATTGACGTTCCTCGTTACAGCCCAGTTTACCACCAGTCTGGTCACTTTTGGACTGGTAAGGAGGGAGGAGAAGGGATGAGCCCTGGTGGGCAGATGCTGTAGAAATGCTGAAAACCAATAATAGAAATCCGCAAAACCAACTTCACTCTGAGTCCTGAGCCATGAGCAGTGGAGACCACGAGACATGCCACACTGAAGCCCCATTAGAGGGGTGATGCTGCAAGGAATGGTGAATAGAAATGAATATGACCAGGCTAGACAAACCCAGCAGGCACGTGGTGGAGTGTGGTTGGGTTCTGTGCCAAGGCAGACCTCCCCAAAGCCTGATTAGCTGATCTCTTTTGACTATGAGTTTAAGCAAGAAGTGCAAGATCATGATGGCTTTGTGAGGGCCTTGTTTTAACTGCTGGTGTGACCTGCTCCAGACCCGATCTGTCATTCTTCATTCTACAACTCCTTGGAGGGATAAAATCAGTCATCTCCTCCAAACACAAAGCCTGCTACTGGGCCTTGCCGTAACCCCAGGGTTTAGGGATGAGCCATCAGCTGTCTTGACACAGCCAGGCCTTGTAGATCTTCCCTTGCCCGCCCCACATTTCCTCACCCAGGGGAGGACGTCACTTTGAGCCTGATCAAAACGTAGCTGGAGCTGCACCAGCTCATTTTTGTACTGCAGGATCTCAGCTTCTTTCTCTGCTGTGTACTGGTCCAGCAGCACCTTGGCTTGCTCAAACATTTCCTTGTGCCCCTGTTGTGAATGCAGCAGGTCCTTGTGCATCCTCACCGGCATCTTGTACCGCCAAATGACTTCCTGGATCTCCTCAAACTGCAGCACAAGACTCCTGGTGTTAGTAATCCCTCTGCCCTCCCCTCATCACGACTGCAAGTCTCATGCTATTTGGCACCCCACGCTGACCAGGGACAACACCTCCTCCAGCTGAAAGATCTTCCCTCAAACCATGACACAAGACTATTGCTCCAGTTCATTTGTGAGCATTGCCACATTCTCTGTATGATGACATCCCACTGTGCCAGTCCCAGAGCTGTCAGTGCCATAAGCAAGGGGAGATATTGCACCTCTTCCCCAGGTGAGCAGTGCTCTGATAAAACACTAAGCACAACTGCAACTGCCAGTGCTGTGTCACCTAGACATGAGATGGGGGCAGCTGTGACTGCAGGAGTATGAGCAATGCATGGAGAGATGCCCGGGTATCCCTGAGAGAGGGCACAGCTTTTTTGACAACTGACTGGGTTCCCATTCCTGGGCAGCTTTTCACTTCTCCCAAACCATCAAAGTGATGTGGAACACTGACACAAAAGGGTCCTCATTCCCCTCAGCCCTGTGCTTTTCCTCCTTCTAACATGTTTTTTTTTTGTTTGGTTTTTTTTTTTTTTTTTTTTAGTTTTGTCAAGCCTTCATCTCCTTTTCAGGTTCTCCACCACTAACTCTGGTCCCCTTGCCTCACCTTGGCTGTAGGAATCCTCTTCCCATGCCACCTGAGGTCTCTGGGTTTGACCAAGGGTTATGATTTCCCTGGGCTTGCCTTATCTACTCTCTAGGTTTAACACCCCAGTAAAGCCCTCCTCAAGGCCATGATCTGTCTCATGTCCAAACTCACCTGTGAGATCTTTACCACATCCTCCAGGTATTTGTTGAAGATGGAGTACTTCTTCACTTTGTTGGAGAGTTTCTGGTGCTTATTTCTCAGGGCTTCCAGTTCCCTCTTAGCTCTCAGAAGCTCACTCTCCTTTTGTATCTTCCTCTCTCTCTCTTTCATGGCTGTCTTCAGAGCTTGGATTCGTATTTTATCATTTTCCTAGTGATGTTTCCCCCATCAACACACAAACACGTGCGCACACACACAAACAGAGGGAAAGGAAGGCAAGGGGAAGATGGACCTGGGTCACTCAGCAGCACTGGGAGGAGATACCTTCACAGAAGAGAGACTAGTACTGGAGCACCTCTGGGAGCATTTTCACTCTCTGTTTAACATCCTGTTAAATCAGAGATGGCACTCTGATTTGCAGACCTACTGGTGTCTGTCCCTGGAAAACACATGTGTGTCAACAGTGGGGACAGGCTGAGACCCTTCTTGGGGGGATGTTTGGAGCACTCAGGAGTTCACACTAGTACAGGACAAGCTCTCTCCTGCCCAAGCCCTATTTGGGCTTTCCACATCTGTGGTACAAACCCCTGCCAGGCCTGTCCAGGCTCAAGGGAGGCTTGGACAGACGTGGTAGCCCAAAACCATCTCCCTAAGGGAGAGGAGGAGGTGGTGGTGTGGCTCAGGGTCACGTCAGTCGAGCTGATCAGGGGCAGGTGTACCTTTAAAATCCTCCCAGATTTCTCCATGTCGGTTTTCAGCTGAGCATCCTTGGCGTGGAGGTCCTTCCACCGGCAGGCTATGACTTCCATCTTCTCCCTGAAGGCCTGGTAGCACCAGAGCAAGCGTGACATGGCTGCCTGCACCCAGAGCCACTCACCTGCCTGCTGCTGCCCTCCAAAAAACCACAAACTCTCCCAACCATGCCCCAGCACCCTCCTGTCTTTCTTACCTCTTCCTTCACCTCCAGAGCCTTTTGCATCAGTCGGTCTTGTTTCTTCTTCTCCTGGAGGCGAATAAATGGAGACAGGGAGCCCTTCTCTGTCAGTCCGAGTTTCCTGCCACAGAAGTTTTCCTTGAGGTTACACGCTGGGTCGGGTACCTCAGCAAGGTGTTGGATTGCTCTGCCCTGTCACCCCACCTGGGACACAGAGCAACCCAACACCGTCTCAGATCCCACCTGGCACCATGGCATCCCTACCCTTCCCCAGTGGGGATCCCACTGACAGAGCAAGGGGGTGCTGCAGGGAGGAACAGGGCTGAGGAAGGGAGGTACAGAAGGGGACTGAAGTGGTGGAGATAAGGGATGGGTGTTTGCCATGGTGGGGGAAGGAGGGATGGAGGAGACAGGAGCAGACAATGGAGGGGAAGGAGGTGGGTGGAAGATCCCCCTCACCTGAGCAGCTGCAGGAGGTGCTGCTTGTACTGCATGTGGAAATAGGCCGAGAGGTCCTCGTCGCCCATGGTGGCCATCACTCCAGCCACCAGCCGGGCCCAGAGAGGCCAGGTCCTCCTGGCACTGCTACTCCCCCAGGTCAGCCCCGGAGCTGCCCTGCAAGCCTGAGGGCTTGGCGGTGCATGGGGGAGGCAGCTGGGCAAGGGATGAGCTCTTGGGTGCCTCTTTCCTCCGCTTTCTCAGGACCTCCCTTGCCCTGGCTGTGCCTGTGGCCACTGGCTGTTGGTGGCCAGTTGGCATAGAATGGTTGCCAGGGTAGTTGGAAGATGCTCAGGTGGTTACTTAGCAACAGAAACAGGGTGATGCCCTCATGCCAGAGAGGGGGACTGACCACTGTATCCAGGACCAGGACTCTTCAGCACTAAAGGAAAGCTGGACAAAAGCAGATTTCTTTCCCCACCTCTCATTTTCTCTTGTTCTTCCTCTGCTAAAAATCAGCCCCTGTGTCTTGTGATGTCTGCTGTCTTGGGCAGGTATATCAGTGTCCCGATATCCACATCCCACTGTCTCAGAGCTCAGGGTAGGAATTGCTCCTTCTCTCCCAAAATACCAGATAGAAACACAGTTAAACCAAGGTACATCCTCAGGGATGCCTGATCACTGTACTACCCATGGTTCCCTCTCTGTGTGGGACTGAGGTCTACCATTTGCTAAAAATTAATTGATTATTTTTTTTTCCCTAAAACAAGGCATTTGAACAAGGTCCATTGCCCAAAATAAAGAAGTGGTGTTCATGGGCCAGGGGGTGAAAACTACAGATGATGGTGACCTTAGGGTCTGCTCCTTCTACAGAAGATTTTACCCTCTGATATCTGATTTTGTCAATCTCTGGATTCCTCACTGGCTTAACATACAGGAACAATTCTGTGAGCTACTGAAGCTGAAACACCCCTGGCTTGGTGGGAAAGGATACGATTCTCTGAGGGGAGAAGAATGTCTGCTACAACCCTGACGTGCATTAGGGAAATTGTTTTCAGCCAAAAGTCACCCCTTGCTCATTATAAACCAGTAGGAGCTGAGGAAAGTCTGCCAGAACAGCAAGAAGATGTATAGCCCAGGAAGGGACCATTTGTTATATGAAAGATGCTTCATTTAGAGACAAATGACCCAAGCCAAAGCAGTGAATACATCTGGCTTTTATTACTGAGGTTCAATTCAGTCCCAGAAGTGACAGGTGACTTCCCCTCTGCCCACCCCGAGGTTATCACGGGGCTGTTCCCATCCCGATAGGTCAGGCAGATTAAACCTGATCTTTTGGAGCAGTTTCTGGACCTTGGCAGGAACAAGTCTTGCCTGGGAGTGGGGCTTGTGCCTGCCTGCAAGGTGAGGGGCCTCAGCCCTTCCTCCAGCAAGCAGGGATCCTCTTTGGAAAAATCCTGCCCAGCCTTGCATGCCCTGGGCTGGAGGAGCTGCTGGTGCCCAGCAGAGCACGAGAACCCACCAGACGAGCATCCTGGGAGGTCGCAGTGTATCAAAATGTCAAGTACTTGCTGCAGAGCCAGGAGCTGGGGCAGAGTCTGCCTGGGAAACGACTGTGACCTGCTCTTTCACACAAGCAGAGCTGTGGAGCCATGCGTGTCCTTGTCCTCCAGTGGCTGAACTGTGCTGTCTGAAATATAAAAAACCCTACAATTTTGGGGAGAGCAGTCTGAGACAGGTGCTGGGCACCAGGATCAGCACTTCAAGCAATTAAAGTTCATTATCATTATGAATAATTGAAGACAGACATTTCCAAGGGGAAGCACTGGCTGACTTCCCAGTCTGACTGAGAATTCCCCATTAGATGACATTTTGTCACATAAATGACAGATGGGCTCCAGGGAGCAAGTGATGTCATCAGTCGCGTTCCTGCTTGTTAGGCACGTATAACACCAAGAGGCTGCCCCTGTCCCTTTGACTTCATGGTATTTCATTGCTCCTGAGGATGTGCTGCCCTTCCTCAGCAAGAGTAGAAAGCGCAGGCCGTAATAAAATCCCTGGGGTTTTACATTCCCCTGTAAATAGCTGTGGGGTTCTTGCTTTCCATGCTGAAAACTCTGAGCGAAGCTACTGCTGCCTGCAGGCTTATGAATGAAGAAATCATCACTGGGTCTTATTCTTACTGATCAGTAGAAGTTGCAGCTGAGTCCAAGGAGGGTCAATCAAATGGTCGAGGGCTCAGGGGGGCTTGGGGGAATCTCTCAATACTCTTGTGCCCAGGGAAAGCCCCCTCCTGTGCACCCCTTTCACCACGTGCTGGCAGTGGGGAGCTGCAGTGCCCACTGGCTTAGCACCGCAGAGAGCCAAGCTCAAATTGCTGGTGTTGCTCTCAGCCTTTCTTGTGTGGCATCCCACATACCAAACATCCCCAACGTTATCTTATGGAGTCCCCCTGCTCCTGCCTCCACCTCCCCTGTTTTGGCAGACAGCGGAGCTGCTTGGATTGGAGATCTTTGTGTGCCCCATCTGTACAGCACCTTGTGACATTCGCTCCTTGCCATCACCACAATGCCGTAATGCCTAGCATAAAATACAGCACTCCAACAAACACGTCTGATGCCATTGTCTGCAGGCCTGGAGTCCCCTCCCCAAAACTTTATTCATGCCCTGTCATTACCAGGGTACCAGGGTGTTGGGAAGGTGCTCAGGAGAGCAGCGCCCATGGACTCACCTTGTTGGGTTTCCCACGTGGCACACGGGGCTGAGCGTCTCCTGGGACAACCCTGGGAGAAGCCTGGACAGGGTGGCCAGGTCTGTCTGGGTATGTTACTGGGAATCCCTGGGCTGCTGTTTTTTTCTGAGTTCTTCCGTGTTTGCACTGATGAAGTCTGCGCTGATGTTATGTGCTCATGGCTTTCTGTGGTGGTCCCCAGCACGGCTAGGCCAGGGTATCACTCAGGGATCCCCCTGCCAGTGTTTCTCTGGGATCTTTCATGTTTGCAAGGATGATCCGTTTCACGTGTTACCCAGCAATCATCTCCAGCACATCCAGGCTCTGACGGAGCTCTTTGTGCCTGCATTGCCTGGTCACAGCTCTGCCCAGAACAGCTGTCTGCTGTGGAGAGGATGCTTGGGTCCAGTGTCTGTATCAGAAGGATTAGTAAGGAATCAAAACGGGGACTGGCACCAAACAGCCACTCTCCTGGGGACATGAGGACAACCGAAGCTGGGAAATGTGATCTCAGCCCTTGTGATTGGGAGGGCAAGAAGAGGAGAAAGCAGAGCTTGGAGGAGGAAGGTTTGGGATGGAGGGCTAGGAAATGATGTGATGGCTGGAGAGAGTGAGACATGGATGACCAAGCGAGTCTGAAAATACACCTTGTGTGCATTTTCCCCTGAAGGTGAAAAGGCTGCTGGCTGGCCTAACACAGAGACCTGAATTTTAAGTACCCAGTGACACACAGGTGCCTGCTGTGCAGCACCACGGCGTTCTGGGCATCTGCACTGACTCCCTCTGTCTTGCAGCATCCTCATCCCTTCAGGATGGGAGAACCCAGCCCATGAATCACCCAAAGCCACATGCTGTCCTGGGTCTTGCCTGCTCCAAACCCAACAGAACCCTGCCTCCCAGAGTGCTGGAACCTCTTGGGCTGGTGTCCGGTGGGTGGGAAATCCTGATCTGGGAACAGTCCTCTGCCCACCTGGAGGGAAGCTGAGCAGGAACAGATCAGACTCTGCATTTCACAGCTGTGGTGAAAGTGCTTGCAGGCAGCTTTTTTTGTGTGTGTGTGTGTGTGTGTGTGTTCCTAATCACTATTTGCCACTTTTATCCTCACACCAAGGTTTTATCTTCGACAAACACTTTCCTCCTAAATACACCATGCATTAAAAAAGAGTTTCTTCCTATTATGCTCTCCATAGCAACTGCATCAGCTTGCCATGAATAAATTACCTCTGACTTGACATCCCTATTAGAATATAGAAAATGCCATTTCTCAGTCATAGCTACCCAGGAGAAACCTATTCTATTCCTTCCTTAGGTACATCCCCCAGCTTTTTAATCTTTGAAGGAAACTGCATTATTTATTTTTTTTTCTTTTAAATCTCCTCTGCTCTTGGAGCCCCTGGAGTTGAAGGCTGATGGAAAGCTGATACAGGCGTTCCCTTCTGGCCTTCAGAATCTCCTAGTGCAGTACAAAACACCCTTGGTAATAGCCAATTCTGCTAAATCGCATTGGGCTGTGTAGTGGCATGATCTTTCTCCAGTTCTTAGGTCCCCAGGGGACAGGCTTAAGGGAGAAGGTGAGCTTCTACCCAGGGAGAGCATGATGCTGTATCTTGGTGGGCACAGACAGCATGAGGATGCTCAAACATGCTATCTTCATTGAGTGCACAGGGTTTTTGGAGTTGGGAAGCAATTCCCCTGTGGAACAGGGACTATCTGGAGCTGAGGGGAGGTCCCTGCCCCACTCCAGAAGTCTGTCCAGCCCGAGATACCTCCCAATTTGCCAAAGCACTTGAATTTTCTCCGGGACAGTGTGGCCACAGCCCAGGAGAGGGAGCACTTATTAAACAAGTGTGCAGTCCCAGATGCAGTCCCAGTCCTGCCCTGTGTCCTTGCCCTGGGATAACTCCAGGCAGCCTTTCTGGTGGTGGGCAAGGGTCCAGCCCTTCCACACAACAAACCCTTCCTCTGACCCGTTCCCATCCCAGCCTGCCCCTTCGATGTGAATGCAGTTGATGCTGATGGCAAGGCAGGATAAATGTGCTGATGTGTAAGGGGGAAGGAGTGGGGGAGCCTGAATCACTGCTCCGTGCCTCTCCCCACACAACACTTCACTCCCCTGCTACCTTCTCTCTGAGTCATTCTGCACAGCAGGGTTTTGGCTTAACCCCCAGAAAGCCAAGGCTGTTGGAGATGCCCATCTCCTTTGAGAACCTCAGCACCTCTTGGGCAGGCTGGGTTCTGCTCTGTGGAACAGATGTCGTCCCTCTCCCAGGCTTCCCCAACATGGATTTGTCCCAATATCTGTACCTGCACCCCAGTCCAAAGGGCACCTCAGAGTGCTCATCCCACACCGTGGCTTGGGAGAGGAGGCTCAGGTTTGGACGCTGATTCAAGGAGCAGCAAGAGAAGGAGCTAAGGAGTCATTTCCAAACACCAGGCTCTCCACCTC